ATTCAATGGCAAAGAAGCTCACTATACACAGCCTTATTGGAAAATGTTGAAGGCTCATTCAGTGGTACTGCACTGATATACTTTCAATGCAAATTTTATGTCAAAGAAACAGACAGCAGCTTTTAGAAAATAGTGATAACCGTCAGCTATAAATACCTGGGTAGCAAAAGTAATGACACCTAAAAAAAGTAATGTTAATACAACTCTAATTGTAATATTTTCATCTAAAATATTTTTATAAGGAAGAGCACTGACTATTCTTTACCATTTAGAGAGCAGGATTTGACCTACTGTTCTAAGGATTTCTCTACCACATATGTATTTTTGTATCTTTTTATAGTAAATAATCTGAATTGTAGTTCAATTCCTCACACCGCAGAAACATTTGTATTCATGAGTATAATTGTTTATACTGGGTGTTTTCTATGTCTATTATGTATGAATTAAAAAAAAAAAACAAAGTATATATACAGTTGTCTAATACCCATAACACCAGCTCTGTTTAGTTTGGGACTAGATGGCGCTATGTGGATTGTCCAGAAATATTATTTTTGTATTACTTATGCATTGCCATTGTTCAAGACCTCAAGAGTTGTCAGGCCTCTTTATCAAATAATTATCGTAATAATTTTTCGTCATTTCAAAATGTCATAGCAGGTGAAGTCCCGGTTATCAACAAGTCAACAATAAATCAAATAACATTGTGTATATATTATCTTATCTTATTTTAATTTAGGTCATTGATATTTTACGAAAAGCTAATATGTTCAGTTAAAAAACTATTGGATTATGTTGAGTTTCCTCTTGTTTCTCAAGATGGTCAAATCAAATGGTAAAGCCCCTATCATGCACAGGGAGAATGTTGTTTGTGACTTGTCAAAGGCGTTTGATTGCGTAGATCATGAAACACTTTTGTACAAGCTCAAACATTATGGTCCAATGACCTAAGTCTAATGAAAACTTATCTAGAGGATAGGGTGCAAACTGTAGAAATTGAAGGTGTAAAGTCTAAGGGAACTAATATAAAAATGGGCGTTCCTCAAGGTTCAATATTAGGCCCATTTCTCTTTTTAATTTATATAAATGACCTTCCTTGCATGGTAGAGAAAGTTGCAGATATAGTGTTATTTGTGATACTTCGTTAGTGTTTAAAATTGGTCGCCAATGTAATCAATTAGATTTAAATTATGCTATTTCTGCTATACTAAATTGGTTCAAATAATCTATTATTGACCTCAACAAAACTAAGTGCATTAAATTCACGCTGCCTAATGTAAAACAAGTAAATACGCAGCTATTGCTTAATGATGAAATAGTAAATTTTGTTAATGATACAGTTTTTTTAGGAATAACAGTGGACTCGAAGTTACAATGGGGGCCCCATATTTCAAAATTAGCCAGTAGACTTAGTTCTGCTGCTTATGCAATTAGAAGGATAAGACAATTAACAGACGTGGCGACGGCAAAACTTGTATATTTTAGTTATTTCCATAGCATTATGTCATAATACTGCTATGGGGTATAGCTTATAAATACTATATTTATTTTACAAAAGAGAGCCATACGTTCTATTTATGGTATGGGTTCTAGAGAGTCATTACGTCAATGCTTTAAACAATCAAATATCCTCACCGTTGCCTCACAGAATGAAAATATTATGTATACAAGCAAAAACTTAGATCGTTACAAGAAACTTAAAGACTGTACAAGTAGAAACTTACAATAAAAATAAGCTAATTTTGCCTAAATGCCGTCTACACAAAGTTAGTAATTCATTTTATGGTAATTGCGTAAGATTCTATAATAAACTGCCAGAGTCTACGCTAAATCTTACAGAGAGGCAAAATCTTATATTAAACAAATGTTATGTAAAAAAGCCTATTATAAGATAGATGAATTTATAGATGATAGCAATATATAGCAAGAATAAGTTTATTTGCGGACAACGTATATATATACTGCTTTCTTGATATATGATAGCGTAGCGGCTTTTGTATTGATTGCCGACACCTTATGTAAAGTGCGAATACTGTAACTACCATATAGTAATTTTTGTAGCTGTGACGTGGTCGTGTGGAATGAGTAGTCATGCTCACTAAAATGTCCAGACATGTGGCGGCGTGGTGGGCCGGGTCAATGGGCTCCCTAAAATAAGCGCAGTGATGGCTGGCTGATCCGTCATACTCGTGAACGAGTGCTGCTTGTAACTGGTCTGCTCTTATCACTACGACTGATTTAATCTTATTGCATGATTATATTTGACCCAAAAAATTAGTGCTTGTTGGTAGTTTGTATTCACACGTTTCATTGTAAATGTAAACTTAAAGGATTATTTAAAAAAACACACAAGTTTCTGTTCTTCTTGTGATGAGACAGCTTTCCGAACGAGTGGTAGATAAAAAACAAATTGTTATGACTATTCAAAAGTGCTTAAATTAAGTTTATTTGAATAAATGATTTTCTATTCTATTCTATTGTCCACCCCTCCAACTATCTGTCACACCAGTATACTTTAGAAATACCTAAAGAATTGAGGAATAGAGTTACATACTGATGATTTAAGGGATGTGAAAATATTACAATTATTATCTTTGCAAGATTGCATGGAAACAATTAATTTATACATCATATGAACACTTTATTTTTTTCATTCCCTGCCAATCAAACCCCTTACTTTGAAAAATTATGATTACTGTCTGTTATTAACATTACTTATAAAATTGTAGAATTATAAGAATATAGTTGTATCTTCAGTTCGGAACACAAAAAGAATCATCATAATCAGACTATACAAACATAACATAATTGTACCTTTATGTAAGAACTAAAGATGTATATATATAAATCTGTACTACTGACACACAATCATTATGTAAAATAATAAAATTATTTATTGGTCATAAAAATAAATGTGATCCAATAGTCTTGTAATACTACAGCTTTTTGTAAATATCATTGACCTAATTTAAAAAATGATAAGATAAGCAGACATGGAATATTATTTGACTTATTGACTACACCTGTTACATCCACATTTTGAATGTGGTATACAACAATCAGCCCTATCTGTTATTTCCATATCATCATACCAAATATCTTATACAATGCAGTTTAAAATATTATAAAATGTATGGAATTAAAACTAGATCAATTTCAGAAGATACTGTCTTTATCAGATTATATCTTTAATGTATTTTTCCCTATTATTTTAATGCGCAATTAATCAATTTATGTTATGTCAGGCCCATCATACCTTGATCTTTAATAAGAACAAGATATGACATCTATATTTGATCTCTATCAAATATATATCACCCTCTGGTGAGTGCAGAAGGACTTATGGAGATGGCTGAAGGCTAACTCCTGCCTGACGGTAACAACTTTAGTCTGAGGGGACCGCTAGGGGTTCAGTTTTACCTGGACATATTACTATGATCTAACATTGTACAACAAAATAGGGGAAGGAATTAGAAATTATCTCTACCATCTAGCATATATTGGTGGTACAATAATATAAGGTTGTTGCAAGGTGCATTGCACCTAAGAAATCATCATAGTAAATATGTCAGAATGATCTAAGGAAGTTAACTTTATCCATATTCAAATATCACTAAGACCTTTAAGGTCTGCCAGCGGTATTAAGCCCAATAGGTTCCCCATACCATGATAGACAAGATAATTATATATAGAGACCGAAGAGCTGGCAGCTACCTTGGACAAAGAATTAGTCTAGCTATTCAAAGAGGGAACGCTGCCAGTATCTTCGGAACATTGCCTAAAGGGACCCCTTTTAATAATATATTTTAGTCATCATATTATTTTTTTTTTAAGCTTTTTAATTTTAGGTTCTTAGTTGTACAATTAGGTTATGTAAATACTAGTAATAAATTTAAATAAAATTATATATATAATGGATGAATTTGTTGATATTAAGTTCAGTTGATGCAAACATTTATATTCTTGATTATGATTGTTTGTATCGGTCTGGGTGTTTTCTATTTATATTATGTATTTATTTACAAAAAAATATCCATGTATTTAAGTCAGTTGCCTAATACCCATAAAACAAGCCTATTTATTTATTTATTTTATCTTAGCAATATTATATTTATATTATTATCAGGTTGTCCGTAATAGATTGCTTATAGGGATAAGACCGCCTTTTTTAATAACTTTCTATTTTTAATGTACTTTTATAATTCTTTTGTGTATATCCGTGCGCAATAAAGGATTATTATATTGCAATATAAAAAAATAATAATTAGATTATAAAGGATATCCAAAATAAATTACATTATGCATATGCTACAAAGAAAATATCAACAAAACATTAGTAGCGCCACCTGACGCGGCGCGTGATCTAACTTTATAATGACTCCACTGCCGCCATTTTGTCATCCATCGACGCTGTCATTTGACTGTCATCACGACATTATAATAAGTCAAAAATGAGTCCAATAACAACAACAAACAAATACAAAATGGCACGATAACATAATATGAGGGACGAATGGAGTATTACAAGCATGCAGGGCCAGTTTACAATGTAAAAAACTATTGATCGGGGCTCACAAAATGGCATAGAACATCACGTATTTTAGGCAGGTCTAAAAATAACTTTACCACGTGCCAAATTACAATAACTACGCACAATATACGAACATCGACTTATTACTGTTATTAACGAATGTACAGACATGATAATATGTGTAAATTACGCAAGAATTAAAGTAAACTATGAAGCTGTTGTATTAACGAAATGACAATGTGGGCTATTGGCGCCATTTTAGTTTCGAGAACATGGGTTCATTACGTGACGTAACAGGCCTGAAATACTTTGGAAATGATCAGGAAAGCTCCGCAAAACCGTGTAATACCATTTCTATAAGTAATTTTGGGGGAAAAAGGTGTTGTTTTTGTATACATGTCACCTTGACATATTATGTCAAGTTGACATACCATGGCGGAAACGTGGCGTCGTTTTGGACCGGCTTACTTACCTCCAGGCGACATGGATTGTTGTCTGTTTGCTACTCGAGCGTCTCTGATAATTTCTCTTGTCAATTCTCTAACGTCGCGGCGTTGCTGGAATGTCGCCATATCGGGCCGGTCGCGTTGTTCTTGTGCTATACCGGCCGTAGGAGGTAACATCGTCACTTAATCCATGCGTAGACCTTTCTACACATAGAGTCACACATAAACACTTATATTGTTCAACAAATGGCAGCAATATATAGAAAGTTCACGATAAATTTAAAACAAAATAACTCGTATACGCACAGGAAACCGAACGAAGCGCGACTGACGTACGGGGGACGGCGGGAAGCTAATGCGCCGTCGCGCAGTTATCCTTTTCTATCTCACGTGAAATCGTATTGCTATTTCTCTCGCACGGAAACGCTTTGATGACAGTAGGGATGTGAAAATGTCAAAACAAAGCGTGGGCTGTATTCAAATGTCAAACGGCCAATAGTTTACAAATAAACAAGCGCCATCTGTTCCTATTTTCTTGTATTACTAAGGAAATGGGCACAAATCTATTTTTAACCAACATGAAAAAAGTTTATCAATCAATTGGTCAGTAGTTTGAACTGAACTGTTACATAAGTTGTTCGTACTATTTGGCTTTGAATCTAGTCATTGAAATTAGAAAATCGTATATCATTGAAAATCGATACTTATAAATCAGTTCAGGTCATATAAAAATAATGTTGGTTTACTTTTTAAAATAACACAAACATATTTTTATTCTACGTAGTCGAAAAGATATAGTTTTGACAAAATGTGTCCAACTGCATAAAAATAACGTACCTATACGTAGATACATTGTTTTGTTGACGAGTTAAATAAACCTTATTAGCGTACATTTGGAAAATATGTGTCATCACAAAGGTGACCAACTGTGACAAACACAAAGAATGTGTTAAATATTAGAAATTTCAGGATAGCTAAATGAGTTTTACGCGCCTCGGTGGTCTAGCAGTTTGACACAGCGTTTAACTTCCGGTGGTCTCAGGTTTGATTCCTCGCACAGTCCGAACATTTTTATTCACAATTGTTTGTACTTGGTCCGGGTGTGTTCTATGTATATTATTTACGTATTTACAAAAAAGTGTGTACATATATTTCTTATCATCACAGGCCCTACTTGGCTTAGTATCGGATACCTCTGTATAGAATAATGTATATAGAACAATGATTTGTATATGTTAATTTTAATTCAATATATATTCGTAACAAGATATAGCTGTATATAATATTGCATTGGTTATAATAAAAAATATTTATATGTAACTCAAGTATGTAATCACGATTGTTAAAAACGATTAAAAAATTGACATCATTTTTAAAAAAAACATTTTCAATTTTAGTTTAGAATTGCGTAATTCTAAATTTAAATTGAAAACGCTAGTCATACACATTCCAATAAATTTCCACATTGTTATAATTAATCAGAAGTTGTCAGATAACCGCTGGAGCCAAAGGAAAAACATATGTATAATAAAAATGTAACTGATGGCTGTACATGGAAGTATGTTTATTATTACAGCGCTGTTATTCTGTGTAGGTACTAGGCTATAAGTCACCACAAGCTTGTAAGAAGAAAACATAGATCTAACTTTTTTTTGATAGAAAAATAATAGTTTCTAACTTTTTTCCTTGTGGAGTGATTGGACTAAAACAAATTAAAAATATCATCCACTTCGATACCTAAAGTCAGGCCACAGTTATATTTTTATTATATGTTTTTTTTTAGAATAATTATTGAGTCAATAAAATATTTTTTCTAACTATGAAAAATTTACTACAATAGGATAAGTTATTTCAAGATTGCGTGAAATAAAGCAATTATATATAAATAATTGAAATAATAATTTGAATATATTATTTTAGAATTAATTAAATCTACATTTCGATAAGGGAGTGTTAGATATGTATAAAAAAAACGATAAATATTTATTATTACATATGGACGGATTTATTATGCCTCAATAAAGTTACAGTATTTCAATGTTAAACGACAACAACTACATGATAATAATTTAAATAAAACGCTAAGCACACTAATACAATACTTATTCAGTTAGGACGAGTTGTTCATGGATTTGATCAGCTTATGGTAGACGACCTGAGGTGCGTTCTTGTAGAATTGGTAATCCATATGGCTGAAGTGAGCCTCTGGTACTTTGTAGTGCTCAGTTACATTGGGGAGCTCCCTGTGCAGTCTTTCGACGTCCTTGGGGTGCGAGAGCCAGTCTTCCTCACTGTAGTACAAGGCGACTGGAGTCTGGATCTGGGATACATCGTATACCGGTGGCTGGACTGTACCGTACATCTTCTGGTTGACCTCGGAGCCGTAGTCGTACATTCTGAATTCATTGGATGCAAGAGCCTGTCCCAATTGCTTTATCTGCCTAGTCGATCCACCAGCGGGCAAGTGACCCATGATCACTGGAATCTGCTCGGGCTCCAAGTTGTCCAAGTTCACTCCAGACATGACGAAGTTGAGGTTGGAGCAAATCTTCTTGCATCCGATTTCCTGCTCGCACATATCACCTCCCATTGTTTTAAGCAATTCCTTGGAAGGCTTGAACTCGCCATCCTTCAGGTGCGGCTTGAGCTGCTCGAAGAGGTCGCTGGATGGAGCGATCATGCGGACCATGGGGCTGCGGGCGTTGCTCATGTACACCATTGGGGCAATAGCGTACATCTTTATTATTTTCTCGTTGTATTCAGGCATGGCGGAAGCCATGGCGAAGAAAGCTGTGGTACCCTGGGAGTAGCCGACGTAGAACAATTTCTGTTGGCCAGTGATTTTCAGAGCGTAGTCGATCAAGGCTGGCAAGTCTACGCGGGCGATCTCATCAGTACTGAACTGCCAGAAGTCCTTCTGTGCTGGGTGCTTGATGACGTGGTTGCGGCAGTATTTGTTTCCACGAACATTGCCTAACAACACATCGTAACCTTCATCAGCTAATAAGTAAGCTAGGGAGTGTTTGGGGCCCATCAATAGCCAGTCGTCAGCGCTGCCGTACAAGCCGTGCATTAATAGAACAGCGCCTTTGGATGCCACACTGCGTGAGTGTCTGGTTGCCTGCTTGACAATGCGGAACATGGTGAGCAAGTAGCCATCTTCAGTTTGAATGATGTGTTCTTCTACGGGGTATCCATTTTTCTTCAAAAGTTGTGTAGCGTTTAAATAAATATCTTCATTGTCTTTTTGGGAGGCGACTTGGTAAGTATTGTGGAAGTTCTTTTGGCTTTCTTCATTGATGTGTTTCATCGACTTTTGCGCGTCAGCGTAAAGTTTTGCGATGTCTTCTTTCTTTTGGATCAGTGAGTTGGGGCCAACGGCTATTTTGATACCCCTCCATTCGATAGCATCACCGTGAGCAGCTTCTTGGAGTTTGATCATCTGAGTAGGCATGTTTTCGTCAGCGAATACAGGAGGCAAGTCCATTTCCTCTTGACGTTCCTGTGACGACTCGGCTGATGAATGGAGTTGGTTGGTTTGGAGAGAATCGTCATTTTCGGAGCTGTGAAGCTTGGAGCTCTCTCTCTGTACTCGACCTTTCTGGAGGTAGGATTGTCGTGGGAACAAGTTTTCGTAGCTGAACTGATTCTGTTGCATCTCCAATGGGACTCGTGCAACAAATTGTTGTTGGTGCTGCTGGGGGTACTGGCCCAGCTGTTGGTTCTTCAGTGTGGGGAGGGCTTCCTGTGACCGCTGGTGGTTTAGCAGATGCTGCTTGACATTTCCAAGCTTTTCAAGAGGCTCGCTGATTCGCTCGCCGATCCGCTCGCCTAATCGCTCCAATGTCGGAATTCGTCTTTCGAAGATGCTTCCCGCAATGTTGCGGGCTAGACCGAGGCACAACAGTAAGCACACCGCCTTCATGGTGAATGTAAGTGTACGAAAAATAAGGCATACCAATGTTTTTATACTTTTTTTTTGCACATTCAGCACTGCGTCATATACAGATATGTTTAGTGACAATATATTATAAAGGTGTTTCCACGTCGATAAGATTTCTCTGACTTAAAAGACGATACGTATTTTCATTTATACAAATAAAATTGAAGTGTCTGTTTGTTATTTCTAATTAACAGTTATAAAATGCATTCAAAATTATTTACGGTACTTATATAAAAAATTTTGTCTGTCTATCTAGTTTTGCAAATTTTTGAAATTTTAACAGTTTGTATTGATTTATATGTCTTCTACCTTTATTATGTGACTATTTATACAAAAATATGTATATAGCACACCGCATTACTTCCGATGGCCGCGGGTTCGATTCCTCGCACGCCATAAACATTTGTATTCATGAACATGATTGTTTGTATCGGTCTGGGTGTTTTATATGTATATTGTGTATGTATTTACAAAAAAAATAACTATGTATTGTCCTGATATTAAGTATAACATAGCATCATCTATACATATAAATAAAATTGGAGTGTGTATTTGTAATGTTGAAATAACCGTTTTTTACTACATGCATTACCAAAATAACATTTTTTATAATTTTTGTCTGTCTGTCTGTTTGTTCCGGCTAATCTCTGAAATGGCTGTACCCATTTTGACGGGACTTTTTTTGGCAGGTAGCTGATGCAATAAGGAGTAACTTAGGCTACTTTTATTTTAGAAAAATTCTTTTATTTTAGTAAAATAAAGTTAAATTCCACGCGGACGTTGTCGCAGGAACAGCTAGTAAAAAATATATCTTCTAACATACTTAGCAGTACTTGTTGCTAGAAACACAGTATATCAACACCTTTATAATAAATGCTTCTGAAGTATTTTATTCTAGTTAATGTAATTATATTCGAATATAATTTTATGTAAATGTAGAATTAAGTTAGTATATACCTAGTTATATTGCATATGGATATTTTATTATGCCGACCTCGGTAGTACAGCGGTTAAACTGCCTTAGTTCCGATGTGGGTTCGATTCCTCGTACAGTACAAACATTTATTTAGGGGGAAAGGGGATTGTTAGTAATGTGGGTTCATGACCCCATTGCTAGCAATGTATCATGCCAGGTTGACCTCCACGCGGTTCCCCCTGGAAACCATCGTGATAAATTCCAGGTGAATTTGTCACGATGGGCTAACTAACCTGACCTCATGTTCATCTTATCATCCTCCACTGGTGCTCCGCCAGCGTAAACCGTTAGCGCAGGCGGGTGCATCATTCCATTATCATCCATAAAAAAAAATCACAAGTATGATTGTTTGTTTCCTATGTATATAAAGTATGTATTTATGTCAGTTGTATATATAACCATAACGCTTATGTTATGGGCCTATAATAGGAATAAAAAAATATGGCTATTCAAAAGTGATAAGTTGTATTGAGTTTATTTGAATAAAGATTATTTCTATTTCTAAATTAAAAAAAAAATTCAAAAATCGTTTATTCATGTAAGACATTTTAGCCGCTTATGAACGTCAAGTTTTTACATTATAATTTTTCTTCCCTACCGTCCAGTTCGGTATATAGAACCAATTGAGAAGAACTGGCAAGAAACTCAATCATCTAAACTAATCTATTTCATAGATGTATATGATATGTAAATTGAACATCCAATAACTTTATATCTCGACCAGACACAGTCTAATCACTTCTCTCCATCCTAAGGTTGCCTGGAAGAAATCGCTATTTAGCGATAAGGCCGCCCATTGTTACCTCTATATCATAATTATGTTGTTTTTCTTTTTATATCTGATGTACATATTAATTTATGTAACTGTTATATCTTTCTGTGAGAGAAACAATAAAGTGTTTTTCATTCATTCATTATAGAAGTACCCCTGCAGTACTGCATGAATGAATGAATACGTCTAGTCGGTTATAAAATTATTATTTCCAATAGAAAACAACTCTAAAATGTACATATCTGCAATCTATTCTGCTTAGCTTGAGACTAGATGGCGATATGTGAATTGTCCTGAGTTATTATTATCAACTAGCTGTACCCGCGAATATGTCCGCGTGGAATTTAACTTTATTTTTCTAAAATAAAATAATTTTCCTAAAATAAAAGTAGCTTAAGTTACTCCTTATTATATCAGCTACCTGCCAATAAAAGTCCCGTCAAAATCGGTCCAGCCATTTTAGAGATTATCCGGAACAAACAGACAGACAAAAATTGTAAAAGTTGTTATTTTGGTGTATCTACCGTATTTATATTCATATACATGTAGTAAAAACGGTTACTTCAATATTACAAACAGACACACCAATTTTATTAATATGTAAGGACTAGCTGTACCCGCGAATTCGTCCGCGTCGAATTTAACTTTATTTTCTAAAATAAAAGTAGCCTAAGTTACTCCTTATTACATCAGCTACTTGCCAATAAAAGTCCCATCAAAATCGATCCAGCTATTTCAGAGATTAGCCGGAACAATCAGACAGACAGATAAAAATTGTAAAAAAATATATTTTGGTGTATTCATATGCATGTAGTAAAAAATGGTTATTTCAATATTAAAAACAGACACTTCAATTTTATTTATATCAGTATTGTATTGTATAGGTATATGTATATATATTTATTTGTTATGGGTTCCAATTTTCATTCCTAATTTTGTATGTAGGTAACAACAAACTGACGACCCACACGATGGTAAGTGGTAGTCGTATAGATATACTTTTTTGAACCATTCTACTCTAATATTGTTGGCCGCAGCTGGCCTTTACAACTTCACCGGACGATACGATGGACGGCCAGTGTAGATGACTCTCAATACCCGCGGAAGGACTTATGGAGCGGCTGAAGGCCAACTCCCGCCTTAGATACGACTTTCATCTGAGGGCATCGATTGGGGTTCGAACCTCGGATCAGGGTAATTTTGATCCCCGTTTGAATTGGACGGGGGATCGATCGGAGGGGAAGATGAGGTTGAGATGCGAAGCAGTCAACATAGTACATAGTTCATCTCATTTCTTACCTATAAAGCTTAGTTTACATAAAACTTTGTGTGTTCGAAATTTTTGATGTGTGAGTACGACTCGGTCTTGACTTGTTTTTTATACATAAACTAGCTATTGCCCTCGGTGTTACCCACCTGTAATTTACCTTTTAATATTAAAATTAATAAAATAATAAAGTAGCCTAAATTACTCCGTATAACATAAGCTATCTGCGAATTGTTTTTTTTTTTTTAATTAGCAATAATAAAGAGACACAAAACATCTGAAATTGTTTTTTTTTATAAAGTTCCGTATGTATTTTTATCTACATTTCGTTGGTTATATAGAAAAATGGCAGTATTAAAAATGTACATTTATTACAAGACAAGCATTTTAGGTTTTTTTTTTTAATTTATATAAATTATTTTTTCCTTTAAAGTTTTAAATTTATACAGTAGTATTATATATCATTTAAATTTTAAATTTTAATAATCGGCGCGGTTAATTTAATTAACTTACTAATAATATAAAAGGAGGCAAATCTAGCTTCTAATTTTGAAAAATTACATTTTTCTATTTAATCGACTATTTATTGTATACTTACTTACTATTGATGTGAAAGTACAAATAGACAAGTCAACTTTATTTATATGTATACATTTTTACTATTAATTCACGTAAATAACATATTCGACTATTTATTCAAACTTATTTATATTGATGTGAAAGTACAAACAAACAGACAAGTAAATTTTATTTACATTAAATAGCATGTTATTATGTGGAACACAGAGAAATGCTATATTTCATAATTTTAACGTATTTTTGTTTACGTAGTTATTGCAACACCAATATGTTTTATACGAATGTAGGGAAATAATGAGTTCATTAATATTCTTATTTCTTACTCGTTCTTCATTATATAGATCGTCGTAATTTTTATAAGTATCGATTTTATTAGATGCATTTTTTTTTACTGAAATGTCACCAATAATATTTGAATGTATTTTAATTAAATTTTACCATAATATAGCTCATACATCAGAATAACACATCATCATTAATAATAATAATAATAATAATAAACAGTCCGAAAATTTCTAGAAACGATGAAAATGATATAACACCAATATGTTTTATACGAATGTAGGGAAATCACACCAGGCACACAATAAGTACACACACACTCACACATACATACACGCCCACACACACATACACACTCTGCACTTACTTGGTTTTTTAAGTGAAATGTCACCAATAATATTTGAATGGATTTTAATTAAATTTTACCATAATATAGCTCATACATCAGAATAACACATCATCATTAATAATAATAATAATAATAATAATAAATATAACCAGCAAAAGCTGAGAGAAAATAAAAAAAAAAGAAATAATAATAATAATCTCAGGACAATTCACACAGCGGCATCTACTATTTATACTATGATAAAACAAAGTCGCTGTCGCTGTCTGTCCCTAAGTATGTTTAAATCTTTAAAACTACGAAACGGATTTTGAATCGGTATTTTCTATAGATAGAGTGATTCAAGAGGAAGGTTTATATATAATACATGAACAGTGCACACCCGTGCGAAGCCGGGGCGATTAGGTAGTAGGCTATAAATATTACTCGCGTGAAACCGCAGGCACAGCTAGTGTTAAATAATATGTAGTGTGTATGCCAGTCCCAAACACTTAATGATGTTTTGAGGCCACTTGGTGGTAAATACAATAATGATAACCCTGGACAATTTAATTTACAAAATGATGAATGAAAATCGGAATCCATAACAAATAATCTAAGGACAATTCACACAGCGCCATCTAGACTCAAGTTAAGCTAGCTAAAGCTTGTGTTATGGGTACTAGACAACTTATACATAAATATTTTTTAATAATAATAATAATAATAATCTCAGTACAATTCACACAGCGCCATCTAGACCCAAGTTAAGCTAAACTTGTGTTATGGGTACTAGAGAACTGATACAAATACATAGATTTTTTTTTCGTAAATATATACATAATATACATGGAAAACACCCAGACCAATACAAACATTCATATTCATGAATACAAATGTTTGTGCCGTGCAAGGAATCGAACTCGCGACCATGGATCGTAAAGCGGTTCTAGCACACCGCTAGACCACCGAGGTGATTATAATAACAATTCACACAGCACCGTGTCTCAAGTTAAGCAGAGTTTGTGTTATGGGTACTAGACTACTAATGTAAATCCTTAAATATATTGTTTTGTAAATATATACTTAATTAGAAAACACCCAGACTGATACAAACAATCATACTCATGAATTCAAATGTATGTGCCGTGCGAGGAATCGAACCTGCGAATATCTTATATTATTAGTCATATTATACATGTTTGTATTAGTAATAGTATACCAATAAATGTATGTAATGTATAAATTAGAAATCATATAATATGGTAAGAAATAACTTTATTAAAAAAAATTGTACAGTATATCTGTACAATTTTTTTTAATAATATATATATTTATATTGATTTGTAAAAGTGCCTGTAAGGGCCTACTTACAAGATATATATTTGAATTTGAATTTGTGTCTTTGTAGATAATCCAAATATAGACTTTAAATCTAGATATAGGACTTAAGCCAATTTTATACTATTTTATTTATTAATTTATTATATAACGAAATTCTAATTTAAGTAGACCAGTACTGAAGTCAAAATTAAAAAAAGCATTTTTATATAAACTTTAAAAACATAAGTTGTAATTGTATGCAATTATCTGTAAAAACGTGTATTTATGTGGATACATGTTTATGAGTAGAAAAGTATTTAAAAAAAACTGAGTGATATCTTGCCAACAAACTACAGTTTGGCGAGTCAATGTATAAAACAACCGTACAATTATCTTTATTAAATAAATAAAAAAAAATATATATATATATATATAACTACTATAAAAAATATTGTTTGTGCATGTGGTATGGTGAATATATGGTGTAATATGGTGGTGTATGTGTTGTTTTGCAAGGTTAGATCTATATCTTACCTTGTTTTATTTCGCTGTTTTACTATTATAGCAGTGAAATAAAACACCTTACCTTAGTTTTTAGAAACGAAATGGCAACGCATGAGGAGTAACCTACCCTCAACCCTCCATAGGGTGGTGTATGCGTAATATTCTTTGGAATAGACGAATTTTGAAATTTTGTTTTTTTTTTATTACTCAGTGCTAAAGAGTCCAGTAGCACTGCGACCTGCATAGATTTAATGTGCTTGCCCTTTTTTAGAGTTCGCTATCTAGGCCCGTCAGGATCAAGAATTGAGGGGTATTCTTAGAAGCGATGGTTTTTTTTCTTAGTATAGTGTGTGCTTTCCTTAGCAGATATTTCGTTTAAATCAAACGAATCCTTAGGACAATAAATAAATACAAATTTATATCTATAAAATATTCAAAACAGTAAGAACCTTATTCAATGTAATTTTGGTAGAAACGTAACTAATTTATCTATTTATATATAGGTACTGATGACAGGTATGATATGATTTTTCATATGCTAGAACAATCCGCATAAGTACCACACCATGATACTAGATTATTAATGTTAATAACTTCGCAACACGTAAACAGTTGTAAATAAAAAAATTAATACAACTAACACAAGGCCGGTCAAAGATGATGTTTGGATTTAATAAACGATCAGTTCATCAGAACGACCATCCTGTACTGCTCGTGTGTAATGGAGAGGAAACTAATCGTCTTCATTCTATTGCTATACAGCAGCCATGGTCAACTCGTGGACAAGTTGTTCCCAAACCTGTCATCTTCAGCGCGGCAAATTACGAATACTCTTGCAAACCAATCAGTCTTTAATACCCTGACGAAGACTGCTGGCGATGTCCTCGTGGAAACGGTTTACAGCATCACTAGTGTACCGGTAGCACTGGCTCGAGCAGTCGGCTCTGTAGAGATACCGAATATCATCAATGGCAGAAATAATATGGATTTCGACAGGATTCTAGGCGAATACAATTCTGGATTAGGTAACGAGGATGCCACACTCAGTATTGATCAGCTTATTGTGAAGTATGGATATCCAGTTGAGAAGCACAAAGTTATCACCAGCGACGGTTATGTTCTGACCTTGTTCCGGATCCCGGGGAATGGCTCTGTCGTTTTCCTCATGCATGGTCTGCTAGGATCTGCTGATGATTACGTGATAGCGGGACCTGAGACCAGTATATCATACCTGTTAGCCAATGATGGATATGATGTGTGGCTGGGCAACGCTAGAGGCAACAAACATTCGCGTCGTCACGTCAGCCTTCAACCTTCAGAGGCTTTGTTCTGGGATTTTTCCTGGCACGAAATAGGTGTCTATGACTTACCAGCAATGATTGATTATACCCTTAAAGTGACCAAAAAGACGTCATTGCAATATATTGGTCATTCGCAGGGTACAACCAGCTTCTTCGTTATGGCATCTCAGAGGCCAGAGTACAATAAGAAGATCAAGCTCATGATTGCATTGGCACCAGTTTCTTTTGTATCACACCTGAAATCTCCAGTCGTCAGGCTGGTGGCTCCTGGAACCTCTTTTATTCACATTATACTGAAAAGCTTAGGTCTTTACGAGCTCTTACCCGATAGTCCGGTATTTCGTGTTTTAAAAACCTTAATGTGCGGTGTTGGGCCATTGTCAGAGGCCTTTTGCTCTAATGCGTTACTATTGACTGTTGGATTTGGTTTTTCTGAGCTGAACATTACGAATTTACCAGTAATTTATGGTCACGAGCCTTCTGGAGCAGCTATAAAGCAGATAGCGCATTATGGCCAGGGTTTTCTGTCGGGCGAATTCCGACAATATGATTACGGTTCACATTTGAATTTAAGAAGATATGGTAGTGTAACACCACCTAATTATCCACTTGAAAAGATTTCAGCTCCTGTTGCGCTGTTTTACAGTAATGACGACTGGATCTCACATCCTGTAGATGTTAAAAAACTATACAATAGGCTTGGCAATTGTATTGATTTATACAGAGTGCCGCACAATCAGTTCAACCACTTGGATTTCATTTGGGCGAAGAATTTTAAGAGTCTCATATACAAGAGAGCTAAGAAGCTTCTGGAGACTTATACTTAATCATTTTCATAATGGTGTCAAATATCTTCTGCACTTCTTTGTAAATATTATAAGTGACAGAATAGTAATAAGACTACTTTAAGTAAACTAAACCTAATACGCTTTTTCCGACTTAATATTGAATAATTTCATTGGCAATAATATCTACCTAGTGATTACTGCTAATCAATAAGTTCAATAACAGACTTTTACCCAATTTATTTATACATATGTAGTGCTTGAGGTGACGGTATTTTTATACTTATTTTATACTTGATATCTATGATGTAAGCAAACGATAAACGTTTTCATTTTTAACTTGTGTTTTTGTTATAGTATTTTACTGGGATTTTTATGAATTAAAGTAGTTATAAATAAAGAAATAATAACAACCCAGGAAAATTCACACAGCGCCATCTTGTACTACGGATAGACACTAAACATATGAATGAAACACTCATTTTTTCTTCACTTCAAACAATACATTTTTTTTGTACATACGTATAAAATACACTGAATAATACAAACAATTATAGTGATGAATACATGAAGCCGGCTGTGGATACTTCAAGATAAGAGGAAGTCCACTGTAATGGCAACGCATGAGTGGTTAGAAGTGGTAGGTAGAAACACATTATTCATTATTGTAAAGTATGTTATTTAATTATCCAATTACCTACCCATTCAGGTACCTCTTCCGAAAATGCACAGGCTATGGAGTGAGTTCTGTACAAACTAGATATACATATTAGGCATACTTTGTTTAATATATAAATGCTCATTGTCCCACTAGCTTGTTCTAACGGTATACATTTGTGGGGCACTAGTGGAGGGTGAAAGGAATAGGAATTATCACAATGGTTTCCGAAATGGACCGTGTGGAGGTCGACCTCGCAGTGTATATTGCTGGCATTAGCACTCACAACGAACAATCCCCGCCCTACTTACCTCCTAGGACTATCATTCTAATTTTAACATTGGTTTAAACATAGAGTAAAGAGTCATTTTTGCACCTTGGGTAAAATTATTGAAGTTTTAGTACATCGTCGTTTAGTGCTTTATGACCCTGTACGCCCAAGACAGAATCATTAAGTAAAGCAAGTGAAATAGTGATAAAAAAAAATCAAAACAAAAGTGGACAAGTCAACTGTTGCGTTCACCACAACATCGTCTGGTCAAATGTAACCTATTTGAATTAGAATTTTGAAATTCTTTGCGCACTTTTTGAGTTTATTCGTAACGAACATACAATACACACCTTTGATATACATTATTTTGAATATTCATGTACTATTTTTGGTTACAAGTGAAATAAAGAGTATATACATACATATATATCTTTAAATATTATAAAACAAAAATTAGACTTAGACTTTTCACTTAAATTTTAATGCAGTGTATAGCAATAGATAGAGACTTTCAAGAAGGTTTATATGTATAATAAATGCGTGTTACAGTATAGAACAAGCCGAGAAATTCAAAGGTTTTTAATGCTCCCGTGCGAAGCCGGGACCGGTCGCTAGTATCTTTATATTCAATACCTAATTATTATACTAATCATTAATATTATAAAGGCGCAAGTTTATGATTATGGATGGATGTTTGTTACTCTTTCACGCAAAAACTACTGAAAGGATTTTGATGACGCTTTACAGTAATATAGATTATACATCAAAATAACATATAGGCTATAAATTTCACGCGGGAAACCCCGGGCACAGCTAGTAGTATATATAAGTAATATAATAAAGAATTGCAAATGTTTATTTCTTATAATATTATACTTACCTATAAGTTACTAATAAACAGTAGGCAAGTAATATAAAATACAACGCAGTAATTTGAGATATTATCTTTGTGTGCATTTAGCAATAATATTCATACAACGATATGCAATTTAATCATTTATATTGCATTTTATTGTAGGTAGCGAAGTTGTACTTTGTACCGGCAAAGTGACCATATCAGCTGTTTTATAATTTCCTACTTTAAATTAATTAATAATTATTATTTAACTAGCTGTGCCCGCGACATCGTCTGCGTGGAATAGAGACCTTGACCAAATAAAGAAAAAATATTTAATAAATTAACCCAAAAAAGTCAAAACAAAAAGTGTAATCGTTCTAAATGACGATTTTCCATACAAACTTTCATCCCCTATTTTGTTTTACCATCTTAGGAGTAACATTTCATAAATTTTATATGTCACATTTATTTATAGAAAGCTGAACAGATAGAGTCAGTTTCAGACAGATAATGGCTATTTGGAACCCAATAAAAAATGTTTTTTAGAACATTGTAAGTTGTAAGTTCTTCTCATGGACATCAGTGAACATTTTTCGCTCTGATTATTTGTTGTAATATCTGTGCAGAGTCTTGTACGGAATATTCATCTATTTAGCTACAGGTTTAATTTTTTGTCCTGCAGATATCTATATATCTATACATCTATACATATAAATAAAATTGTAGTGTCTGTTTGTAATATTGAAATAACCGTTTTTATTACATGGATATGAATATAAATACACTAAAATAACATTTTTTACAATATTTGTCTGTCTGTCTGTTTGTTCTGGCTAATCTCTGAAATGGCTGGACCGATTTTGACGGACTTTTATTGGCAGGTAGCTGATGTAATAAGGAATAACTTAGGCTACTTTTATTTTAGGAAGAATAAAGTTAAATTCAACGCGGACGAAGTCACGGGTGCAGCTAGTTTTAAATAAAGCAGATAGAGTTCAATGGAGAGAACTGGAGGAGTTCAATGGAGAGATGGCCCATTGCCCAATTTTGTAAATCGAAAAAAAAACAAAACTTTGAGAGAAAAGGCTTTATTTTTTTTTTCCCAAAAATTCTCATCTCCCCTCTTAAGGAGAGGAGATTATTATTATTATTATTATTATCTGTAGAATTATCAATCATCACGACTACTATAATAAGGAATGTAATTACATTCACAAAAAAAACGTAACACGAGACACGAGGCATCAATTAAGGGCCTTGTAACCTTCAGCAATTAATATACACAGTATATAATTTTGTAAGTAGACCAGCGGTTTCGTGATAGATGCATTAACAACTTCATGCTGACCGCCCCACGCAGCATACGGCGGTGGTACCTCACGGTCACAGAACATTAAAATTAATTAATCTGTGGGTTAATAACTTAAAGAGGACTACTGACTTTTTTTTTTCTTATAGATAATGGAATGCATCCGCCTTCGCTAATGCTTTACGCTGGCGGATCATCAGTTAAGGGTGATAGGATGAACTATAATCAGGTCAGTCAAGGCTTGCTGACAGAGAGACCGAAGCGCCACCTAGGCGGCTCAGTACAGACTACTGCCAATAGTTTCCCTTGTCGGGCCTGTGGTAGGCCATGCCGTTCTCGTATCGGTTTATACAACCACGAAAAGAGCTGTTCACGGACCATTAAGCCACAATTCGTCTATAATAGACGCATAGGCCATTATATTAATTAAGTCCCTTTTGTATTTGTTTTTTTGAAATGAAAATAATATTTATTATTAAACTTATTATAAATATATATATATATATATTTCATTAATGAATTTACACTTCTCGGTTTAGTAATAGATACCCATCTAAATTGGAAAGCACACATACAAAGGATAAAAACAAAAATGTCTAGTTTCGTTTATGCTCTTCATGAAGTGAAATTTTACAGATGCACATGCGGGCTCATGTGTTTATGTGTGGAATAGCGTGGACGCATCTGTTCTTTTCATTCTCCAGAATAAATTAATACGAATAATATTTAACATAGAGAAGGAGATAGCTGTAAACCTTACGCATCTATATATTGGAAGTGTGTAAATTTGTAAAAAAATTTGTACAAGTTGCGGAAGACAAAGACTATAACTACGTGGATGCGTGTGTAATAAAAAAATACTTTCCATTGTTTTTTTAATTACTATTGCTAGATCTGTGTATCGTTGTTAAAATATTTAACATTGACTGTGCAACTTTGTATAAGTGTGTGTTAAATAAGAATAGCCTATATATAAAATACTTTTTTATTGATTTTGTAAAAAACAATATTACAATGTAAGTGATTATTGTGATGTAAGTTGTACTTTAGTTGTTATGTAACATTTAATTAATGCATATTATAATATATAACTGGATGAATAATATTAAATTATTATTATTATTAATAGTAATAATAATGTTATGTTTACGTGGCCCTAACAGGGTTCATAATGATCGAAAACGAATATAAAATCTTTCATTGTAATATTATGGAATGCAATAAATATTGAGTATTGAGTAATAAACTTAATATAAATACTTTTAAAATAATAGACATATAACATTATTTTTATTCTACCGCTCATTCTGACAGCAGACACATAATAAGAGGACCGAGTAATAAACATGTTGCTCTTTTATATAGGTGAATGTTGTTAACCATTACATATACAAATAAATAGATGTGTTTGTAATTTTAAATAAACAGCTTTTCTCTATACATACCATAATTTAAAAAAAAATTGATTTGCCAGTTTTTCTTGCTAATCTCTGAAACGGCTGTACCAATTATCTGGATTATTGCTCGTAGATAGCTAATGTTATAAGGAGTGACTAAGGTTACATTATTCTTTTTTATCATTTTACTTTCAAGCGGATGAAGTTGCGGGTAACTGTTAGTCAAACCAAAGATGCATACTTAGATGCATGTGCGGATTTTCGAAGAATGCAGTACCAGAGGTAGACAGTAAAAGTTGTCTGTATGGATACATCAGTCTCACCTATTTCAGCTGCTAAGCAGGTTGCTTTGTAAGATGTATTTCGGTTGATAATGTATTAGTGAAAATCTTCGTTTATGAGAATAGACAAAATTTAAAAAAATGTTTATATTTTAATTACAATGATAAAGTTCCCCAATCATAATTGTTACATTTTTATTATATGTATAGTTTTACTGGTTGTAACCGATTTTGATAACTACTCAAATTAATGGAACTTCAGAATTACGAAGATATGGGTAGGAAACCACCTCGATAAAAAAAAAACAAATGAATCAGGTTGGCGGGCACTATAATTTACATAGCCTATGGTAGGAATTTAATTAAATTAAAAAAACAAACTAATTAAGTTACCATCCTTGTTTATTTATCCAAAAAAGGTCTTATTTTATTTACATCTTAATATATAGGTAGTATTAAAATTATAACTGTAAAAGGCGTGGGATGTAGACATCGCCGATCAACCTGAAACCAAAACAAGAATGAATTATAAATTTTCAACCAACTTTAATAAGAATGGAATGCTTTTTACTTTTTATTATTATTGCTTAATAAAATACATCCTCATTAACAAATATTATTCACTTTAAAGTATAACTAAATAAACTTGGGCAACACATAGCGCCATCTAGTTCAAAAAGCAGAGGTTGTACTAGATGTATTAGACAACTGATTAATATTAATAAGTACATTTTATTGTAAATACACATGATATATGACAATACTGTAGTCATTAATCAGTAATCATTTAAATGTATTTTTATTTTCATTATTGCATTCTTGCATTCCTCAAGATTCTAATAATTTTGATGCATTCTGTATACTAGTTCATAATCAGTTAGATGTATTGAATAAAAATTATTATTGTTTCACTAATAAAACAACAATATTTTCATAGTTCATAAAAATCATTCAAATATATATAAGATATTGCCAGTCTCTTAAATTGAATGGAAAACTTTTGTTTTGGTCACTGTTAGTTAGGTATTACAATATCAAATATACTTATTAAAATCTACATTGTTATCCATGATGATGATTTTTTAGGCATAAGACAACCTCTGCCTATCCTTGTGATATAATCAAGACTCAATAATTACTAGAAATCCAAATCGTAACTAGCATAGTCTCTTATGAAATTACAAAGGCATTGGATCAACATTGACTGGCATTGAAATTATAATTATGCCTGAAAATTTGTATAATTAAAATGAAATATGATTGCATATGCTATAAAAATGTTTTGATAATTAGAAATATGTTGAAAATTTGGTCATATCAAATTTCATTACAATCTTTTCACTCATGTAGTGAAGAAAATTTACACTCTTTTTTGCAAATATAATAATAACCATAGTTAACACAGTAGCAGCATGGATTGTGGGCGACCATTCCATTAAATACCCTAATAAAATAACAGTAAGTTATAATTTACCTTTCACTTTGTGGTATTTGCATTGATATAGTGGTAGAGGATCACCAGTAAGAAAATGGACACTCCCAGAATGTTCGAGAACACCGCCAGCTGGATGTCAGTGATCATTTTGTTGATTTATCTAGAAAAATTAAAATATCACTTTGTAATACAAGTTTAGATAAAATTAAAATATATTATGCATGTTTTAAACTATTTTTAATCAATTTCAATAAATAGAATGATTATATTTCTGTTTTATTTTTATTATTTTTACCAGTGCTTATTTTCTTTAATCTCATGATGATTCTTTTTTATTTACGGTCCAATTAGGACTTTTACAAATTTAGTAATAAGCATAATTATATTAGTAAAGAATATTAAGTTACAATATTATATTATACATAAAGTTTTAAACTATTTTTAATATATTTCAATATAAAATAGTATATTATATGTTGACAGATGATAAAACACTGAGCATGAAGACAAGTCAGAAGTGATGTTAAAATGTTATTATACAATTTTAGAACATAAAAATGACATATTGAATTAAATATTATACAATTTTAGTAATTAAATATATACAATTTCAAATTATTAATTATTATTACTAATTTTATTATTATTATTATATATTATATAAAAAAATAGTGCACTATAATTAACCTACTTTGAAATGTACCTGTCTGTCTATTTGCTGTAAAATTATGAAATGCAAAGCTTAAATAAATAAATAAATAGATGTGATGGCTCCCATTGTAGCAAATTTAACAGGTATTTACTATGGTTTCCTATGGAAGACTGTGTGCAAATCCATCTGATATACATTACATTGGTGTGATATTCTACATTGTCATGGTAGTTTAAAAATAATAACAGTGGTCATATTCATTAAAGCTATTTCCTCAACTGAACAAAAAAAAAAATCCCGGATGGGTTTACACAAACAAACATACTTTTAATTGATATTTATTTATTTCAATTATTACTAGAGGTTATCTCTTATATGTTTAGGATCGACAACGTTGTGGAAGAACTGTGGTCTGAAAGACCCATATACTACATCTCTCGACGAGTGCTCTTCGATAAAACCGAAACATGTTCAACTACCGGTAGCTTTTTTGGAATAATGAAGTTAACTTACTTAAGAGCAATATATCTGCAATTATAAAACTACAGGTCGTATAATACTTACAATTGATATTTACTAGTGATAAGAATAAATAAATATTCTTTTAAAATTCGAAAACAAATCTATATAAGTTGCAAATAATGGTAAATATACACGTCATGAGTAAGTGTCATGCTATGCTATGTCTATAGGAGACGTAAACGTCAGTCTCTTCATGTCATTTAATTTACTGACATCAATCAGTATTTTCCGCGCTTGTCTTGTCTTGCGTGCGGCGTCAAAAATCAAATCAAATTATAAAGTTGTCAAAATTTTGTGTTCCCATTTTGATCTTTCGGTGTATTATTCTAGATACAAAAAGTGTAAACATAGATTACTGTTTTGTTATTAATGTTAGCACATTATTTATGCATCGTATGCTGCATATAACTTGTAAATATGTACTTTACATCTGCTAGTTCACGACTGTTCTTGTACGATATTAACAGTTGGGATTTGAAAAAGTCCTATGGGTGCTACAACGGTGTCCTGAGAGATGTATCTTGGAGTGACGACGGAAAATACATTTTGCAGGTGAAGTGAGACGTTACTTGTATTTCTTGGGTAGAACTCCGTTGTTACAAAGGTCACACATTTATGTGTATGTATTTTGTTATTGGTGAAACAATTAATTTCTGGGTGGGACCACTGTCCATTGTTACACCTTATGACATCATGTAATGAACCTTTGTAGCCCCATTTTCCAGATACAAGTCAAGTTACCTTATATCTAGTTAGTAGAAATATATAAACTTTTTACTTTGCAGTATTTAATTGATGTTTACAGGATTATGTTTCTGATTAAACTCCATAAAGTTTTTAGTTGTTGATTATATATAAAGTTACTTTTGTAGTAATAATTTAAATATTTCATAAGCATCTTATATTTTCATTCACACACTTACCTAATAGTATTGGTTACATAAATATTTATATGTCTGTTTGTATATAATTAGAGTATATATATGTATATATATATGTTAATAATATATCTTAATATGTATATATTAAGAATAGTTCGAAACTAGATTTATTTTGCAAAACATAACCTTTTTATTATATACTTTAAGTATTTAAGTATATTTAAAAACAGATTTATTTTTACCACCATCATCATTTTTTAATCTTTTTAATAATATGTTATGGATCCTAATCAGCCTTCATAAATAAACAATAGTCCTTTGCTAGTCACCTGCAGTACAATATTATGAGTAAATACTATGTTGTGTTTTATTTTACTCAGCAATTAACAGTACATGTAATAATTTCAGGTTAACTCCAAAGGCTTAATAGAAATATTGAGTTCGGCTGAACATGATGTGCGTAGTCTACAACACATACCCTTAAAGGACACCTGGTCAGCCAGCTTCCATCGAGACGGACACCGGAACATAGCTATAGGAACAAGAAATGGAAATGTTATGATATGGGACACAAAAAACAAAACAATAACAAAATCATTCCCAACACCTTCACAACAGTCTAGTGTAAACTATATAAGTTATAATTCCAAGAATAGTAGTCTGGCAGCATCAATGCAGAATGGAGAGACAGTTATATATGGTCTAGTTTCTAATATACCAGTACTAACTGTAAAACTATCATGTTCAAGAAGTATATCAGCTATGAAGTTTCATCATGAATCGCGGTCCCTCCTTGGACTAGCTACTGATGAAGGTCATGTAGTATTACGTGATATAACCACTAACAAAGATAAAGTATTCTTTGAAAATGTTCATGCATCTCCTGTCAGTGATTTCACATTTTCTCTTGTTAACAAGGATGTCTTATTATCCAGTGGGTATGACAAGATTTTACATGTTTACGATATAAGATTACAAAATGTTGTATCTACAATACGCACCTCCTATACTTTAACATCCCTGGCTATAAATTCAGATAATCTAGCGGCGTTAGGTACAAAGAATGGACTGGTTTTGATTTATGATTTGAGAGACTTAACTAAACCACTCAATGTTTTGAAAGGACATGAGGAAGAGGTTCGAAGAGTTGCCTTCCAGCCTGCACGTAAGAAAGCTTTTTCCGCAGATATTAGTCTTCGTGAGGACAATGAGGTTACATCACCTCAAATTGTTCAATCACCAGTAAAAACAAGAACATCTGATATGTTTTTTCTTAGTAATACACCACCAAAAATAGAGTTAGAAGTGTCAGGCCAAGGAGCGGATACTAAAGCAGATTCATTTTTAGTTATGATGGGTCTTGATAAGTCAAATTTTGAATTTGATGAGGATGGGAACAAATCAGCAGATCTTGATCATCGGAAAAGTGAAAAACATGAATTGAGATATCACCAATTAGATGCTGAGAAAAACATAACTAAAATTTCAACCCCACTCAACAGTAAGGCTGCTGAAAATCTTGGATTCTCATCACCCATTGATATCACCAATGGCGTACCAGATGATGGGTGTGGCTCAAATATGAATTTTATGAAAACAAAACCAAGTTGTAACATAGCTGAGTATAACAATAATTTAGATACAAAAACAGTTGAAGAGCTAAAGGACTTTGTAAAATTGACACTCTCCGATGTGGCGGATGACAACAGAAACTATTTCCTCCATATCATGATGGCTCTAACGAAACAAAAACTATTTTATGAAAAACAGTTTTGTGAAATGAATAAACAGATAAAAAATTTGGTACAAAATCAAAATGCACTAGTTGATATAAATAGGAAACTTTCTTTAGACTTAGAACTAATGAAGGAGAGAATGAATACTTTATAGTTTAGATTTAGTACCTGAAGCTGAATCTCTAAGGCACCATCCATAAGTTTTGTTGCAGCTTATGTTATGTTAGCAGTTGAAGGTGTCACAAAGGTTGTCTAAAAAGTCGTGTTGTCCTAGATTTCGCGACGCACCCTCCCAATAGGCATCTAGTGATATCATGTTTCAATTTTAATATTAAAACATGATATATTAATTATTAAAATAAAATATGGGATTAAAATTATTGTACTGTTGACGAAATTTATGGATGACCCCTAATACAGTGGAATCTGTTTATTATGACGCCACTTATTATAATTTATACTGCAGTGTGAAGTTTGGTTTCATATATACAATATTTTTTCTCCTTGTGAACCCCTCTTATGACCTACTTTTTAAAATATGTCATATTTATTTATAAATTGCAGTCTCGCTATTTTTGTTGCTCCTTTGTTATACCTGTTCAAAAGAAGAATAATAATAATACATATAATTGTTATTCCATTTTTAATATTTATGTTGAGTCTCACTTCAGATTTTGTAATTATAGATGGATAAAATTGTTTAATTTTCTGTTAACTAAACTATGTGACAAAAATTCAAAGATTTATTTATTTTTTGTGACTGTACACTGTATGATTCCCGCTTAATATGATGTGTTGGTCCTTCTATATCATTTTAAGTGGATTCTGCTGTATTACAATGTTATTTAAGTTGCTTGTTAAAATTGTTGATATGAACAAAGCATATGTAAATTTTACAACGTTATATTTATTGACTATATACATTGATGAAGTTAATCTGGACATTAATAAGTTATGAAATATTGTTATAAAAAAAATAATGTCTTTAAATAAATATAGAAGTTATGTAAAATTACTTCATCAGTAATCAAATAATCATTCCTTAAATATTATTGTGCCAATATTATACAAATTATATATTTATATAAGCTCAAAAACTACGTGTGACTGTGCCATTATGCCCCAATGAATAAATTCAGGGTTATTAGATAAATTAATAATTACAGTATTTCATAAACCAGATACTCATTCTAGTTTTAAAGTTGCATTTTATTATATTGTTAATCTTATTTGTTAATTATTAAGATTTGAATTCAATAAAACGATTCATTGCTGACATGTTTTGTTTATAGCATTTTTAAAATTTTATCAAATAAACTTATATCTTCAACAATATGACAAGTCAAAAATTTTTCGTTTGATACAACAAAACACGGCTATTAAAAAGTCTATAAAGCACTCTTAAAATGTTTAGAACCCAGAGACATCAATTATGTATGTAGTTTAACTTTTAGTTCAACTTTGATATATTTTTAATTCTTGTATGGCAACATATATTTTTTGACGTCAACCCTAATTTTGACGTTGATAAGTAGGGTTACCAACTTAAAGAGTTTAAATCTCAAGATAGGAGAATATAGATCAGTTCACTAAAACATTTTTTAATTTCAATAATATTATAATTGTGTAATTATTAAAATATTAACCATTTATGTTTTACATTTATGCAATTACTAATAGAAAAAGCAGTTGTATCAGTATCTTGTTTAGCCTATGTTCATACAGGATACTTTGTAAATAAGTAACGTACACAATGTTAATTTATTACACTAACATTTGTGTAATAAACTAACATTGTGTACGTTAGTTATTTACAAAGTCCGAATCCGAATGTTACGATTACAAGAAGTTAGGGTTTTTTGACAGTAGAGGGCTTAAGGGTAAAAAATATTTATGGGAGTTGGTCACACTAATTTGTGTTTTGAAATTTGAATTATTGCTTTTGCTCAGTATTTATTTTAAGTAACAATATAGATAATGAGTGAATTAACTGCTACCAATCTATTTGAGTCTCAAACGATTGTAGCTGACCACAAAGACCTAATTCACGATGTGGCCTACGATTTTTACGGCGAACGGATGGCCACTTGTTCCAGCGACCAATACGTTAAGGTTAGTAGGTTATTTTGATACAAAACAAATATATTTCGCACTTGTAGTAATAATGTCAAAATATCGTCAGCTTTTAAAGAACATATTCCTAACTTGGCTAATCTTACATAAATAAGATTCTTTTACTTGTAGCATCTAAAAATTTATCAGAGTGATGAGAGAATTATCACAACAATTGTATAGTATATACATTTTATTAAATTTATTATGCATTTGGGTGACGCTATTAGGTCAACAATAATACTCTAATCTAAAAATTTTAGCATTCAGCTTTATTTATATCGCTCCTCGAAATATGAATTATTGAAAACACTTGATGCACTTCTAATAGCTGATTGTGAAGTATTGGTTTTAACAAAGTATAATGTACTTAGTTGTTTTCTGATTTTTTAATTAGTAATATATTTTTAATCACTACAATAAGTTTGTGTTTATAATTATTTACATACAATGTACTTCTCTCTTTATATCCAAAATTAATATATTATATTAGCAAAGAAATGCTTGTATATTCTAGAAACCCTTTCTATATGGTGAATATGGAAAACAACAATAACTTTTTTTTAAATATCACTATGAGACAAAGGTATTCAAAATAACAAAAACTAAAATACACAACTGACCATTCTATTTTTAAAAGTTAAGTTTTTAAACATGTCCTTCTTTACAGTAGTCCAATATAGAAATATGTATGATTAATCAAATATGTGAATATTAATAATAGTAACATTACTCTTTTTTTTTATATAAATATATAAATGTACTTTTTATTGCTGTAAGGTTTGGGATTCAGATGGCAAAGGTGGTTGGCGATTGACAGGCAGTTGGAAAGCACACCATGGATCAGTGTGGAAAGTGACATGGGCACATCCAGAATTTGGGCAGGTTCTAGCAACATGCTCATTTGACCGTACAGCTGCCATATGGGAAGAAGTTGGTGAGATGTCTGCATTTATAATAATTCTTTTCTAAAATATGAAAATACTAGAAATAATAGGAAAAATACAAAAAATGTCCAAAGAATATGTTGCCTCAAAAACTGATTTAAATTTTCAATACTTTTGTTAGATCAGTGTTTTTCAATCTGTGGGTAGCGACCCCTAGTGCCTTACTCAGGGGGTCGTCGACTAAATGAAAACGTTGACATTCATATACAACAAATACACAGTTTTAGTGGGAAGGATATGCATGTTTATTTTCTAAAATTTATCAAATATCAGTGATATTTTTGAAAGGTAGGTAGATAATCAAATTGTTTTCTAATTGCAGTCTATTTCTCTTTTTAGTTTTAATGTCTACCACTGATAACAATATCAGTTTACACAAGTATGAAGTGGCGAATGGTACTAATAATTTAAGAGCATCTCTTGCTAGTTATGGATATTAGTGTTTTCATGTAAAAAGAAATTTTAGCTTTTAATTAAATTATTTCTTTAGCTTTTTACGACACAAGCGGGTCACCAGAATAATTGAAACTGTAAGGGGGTCACGAAATCAAAAAGATTGAACGACACTGTACTAGATTATGAGTAGTCAATTAGTAAAGGCTCTGAATTTGAATTTTAACTATTCTTTTTAGGTGATACAAATGCCACAGGGTCAGAGAAAGGCCTACGCACATGGGTGAAGAGGTCCAATCTCGTGGACTCACGGACCTCAGTCACAGATGTCAAATTTGGACCTAAACACTTAGGATTACTTTTAGTCACATGTTCTGCTGATGGTATAATAAGGTAATTTTTTATCTGTTAACAATTAACACAGCATCTAGTTCCATGGTAAACAGAGCTTGTGCTGTGGGTACTAGATAACTCATATAAATATATAGATAACATTTTTTTTTAGTAAATACAATCATACTCATCTACACACATGTTTGTACCGTGTGAGGAATCGAACCCGCGACTATCGGAAGTAAAGCGGTGTGCTAAACTGCTAGACCACCGAGGTTGTCGCTGTCGATTATTTACACTAATATGTTTTTTTTTTCTTTTTTCTCTTCCTATCTGCTATCAGCTTTATGGCTACAACTACTTGTATCCTGTGACTTTGTGCGCGTGGAATTAAAATAAATATTATTTTTAATTGAATGATGAGGTGATGAACTCACCAGGATGGTTTCAGAGGGGGATCGTATTATTCTCTATTACAAACAATTTCTTCTCCACAGAGACTGTTTTTATAATGGATGATAATGGTATCGGGGCACCAGTGCAGAATTATAAGATAAGCATGAGGTCAGGTCAGTTAGTCCATCCTGACAAATTCACCAGGAATTTATCACAATGGTTCTACAGTTTCTTTGCTACTATAGAAATCTCCATGTTAGAGGGAAAAAGGGGATTGTTAGTAATGTGGACTGATGATCTTATTGCTAGCAATGTACCATGTCAGGTTGACCTCCACGCGGTTCCCCCTGGAAACCATAGTGATAAATTCCTGGTGAATATGTCACGATGGGCTAACTGACTTGACCTCATGCTCATCTTATCATCCTCCACTGGTGCCCCGCCAGCGTAAACCGTTAGCACAGGCGGGAGCACTATTCCATTATCATCGTAAAAAAATAAACCACCATGTTAGAAGTGTTTAAATTCAAGTTTACTTAAATAAATGATTTTCTATTCTATTCTGTTTTTTCAGGATATATGAAGCACCAGATGTGATGAACCTTGCACAATGGACATTACAACATGAAATACCCATTAAAGTGTCAATCAGTTGTCTATCATGGAACCCAACGTTATCCAAGTGAGTAAAAACACACTCCTTATATTTTAGTTGGGGTAGAAATGGAGCTGAGAAAATAATATACTGTTTTAAATTTGGCGTCGTTACAAATTATATTTTTCAAAATTTGAAATGTTTCTAAGAATCCTGTTCCTCAACTCAACCTCGGAACTGCCGTCTCGGAGCTGACGTTCACTATGTTTCATAATACAAGTGCTAGTTGGTAGTTTGTATTCACACGTTTCGACTTGGACACAAGCTTTTTTCGGTCGATTTTCTTATGACGAGAAAGCTTTCTGAATGAGCGATAAATTAAAAAAAAAATGTTATGACTATTCAAAAATACTTAAATTAAATTAATTTCAATAAAGAATTTTCTATTCTATTCTATACTATTATTACTAATTCCAGGGTGAACCCCCCAATGCTGGCAGTGGGTAGTGACGAGCCAAACACAACAAATGCGGTCGCGAGCGTACAGACAGACAAGAGTACGTCATGCAACGGAAAAGTTTTTATATACGAGTAAGTGGTAACTGCACTTTAATATATTACTAACTGACCCGCGCAACTTCGTCTGCATCACACTTATTTGACATTTATCATTATACTAGGTTTTGCCCGCGGCATCGCTCACGTTAATTTATCCCCTTAGGAGGTGGAATTTATCAAAATCCTTAGAGGATGCCTACGTCATAGTAGCTTTATGCATGCAAAGTCTCAGCCCGATAGGTTTAAAATTGACAAAAGTTTCATACAAACTTTCATCTGCTATTTTATCCCCTTGGGGTAGAATTAATCAAAATCCTTTCTTAGCGGATGACTACGTCATAACATCTACCTGCATGCCAAATTCCAGCCCGATCCGTCCAGTGGTTTGGGCTGTGTGTTGATAGATCACTATGTCAGTCACCTTTGAGTTATATATATTTAGATTTCGGCCAAGTTACCATCAAGTGAGTTATTCTTTGTATTTTGTTTTATAATGTAAGTGATTACCGCCGCCCATAAGCACCCGGAACAACAGGTGCGATGCCGGCCTTTTTAATTTTATTTAATTTAATTTCGTGTCGGAAATACCATTGCTGGAAGATGCTGAAAAAAGCATGGTACAGGGCCGTAATTTATCCAGATGATTAGGATGGTATTTTAGTAGTGCGATGGTGAAATTCATCAGCTGGTATTAATCCAAACAAAACCTCAGAATTCTCTTGTATGTTAATCTAACTTTACAAAGAAGATTTGTAACTCCTTACCATTAGGCATGTATGCTTTTCCATTTTTACCCATAGCGAATGTTCTGTTACAGATATAGCGATGCGTCGCGACGGTGGACTCGAACCGACTGCCTGTCGTCAGTGCAGGAGCCGGTCAACGATATAGCGTTCGCGCCAAACCTGGGACGGTCGTTCCACCTACTCGCCGTCGCCACCAAAGATGTCAGAATCATCAAAATAGAACCGCTAGCGTAAGTTATAACTGTTATTTGACCTTAAGCTCACCAGGGGTGCAAAAATCGCTAGACCAAGGATTAATTGACCGACCAGAGATTGATTGACCGACCACCGATTGATCAACCGACCAACAATTGATGAATCAACAATCGACCAACAATTGGTCAATCAACCGACCAAAAGCATTGCTAGCAATGAGGTCATCAGTCCATATTACTAACAATCCCCTTTCTCCCTACATTGACAATAAATAACAATGCTAGCAATAGAGTTACTAATCCAAATTACTAACCAGCCCCTTCCCTTAATCTTTTTAATTTATAGTCTACAGTTAATATAGATTAAGACTATAGAGTCTCCGTGCCTATAATGATATTCGCTAAAAATAAAAATCGTTTATTCAAACGGTACGGTCATGTGATCAATGATAAAATTCAAAATGCATGATGCATACTAAAATATGCTTAATTGTAATAAATACATACTAAAGCTGAAAATATAGGAAGAATATAAAGTGTATACATAGAATTCCCCTCATGAAACAGTGAGTCATCGAATAGCAACGGGTGTGGGGTTCGATTCAAGACGGAGGTGATGGCAGCGTTTGAGGAGCATTATTCGTGCGTGTGGCGAGTCTCCTGGAACGTGACCGGCTCACTGCTCGCCTCCTCCGGGGACGACTGCTGCGTGCGCCTTTGGAAGAGTCAGTATTTTTCTATTATTAGTATTAGTATAGTATAACATAGTATTTTATTTATTGTAATCATGTACAACATTTATTTGAAAAGAATATGAGCTGTTTCTTGTCAGTTCTTCTCATCTCGGAATCATTCCGAACTGACGGTAGATTTACATATCATAAGAGTCTGTAATAGACCTATATGAATAAAGATATTTTGAATTTGAATATCTAACTTTAAGACTAACCCGCAATTCACCAGAGTTGTTTTTAGTGAGCAGAAGTTCCACAGTGCACGATAGTCTTCCCCGGCGCAGGCGGATCTCCTGCGCCTATGGAGATCCCTCCATAAGGGATTTTCTCCATGTTAAAAGGTTTAGTTAGGTTAAGACTAGCTGTGCGTGTGAGTAAAAGCGTGGATTTGAGGTTACTCACTTCAGTGGACGATATACAAATTTTTATGAATTATAGGTTTTTAAGAATTTATAACCCATTACACAAAATACTCAGCTCGGGACTAGATGGCGCTGCGTGAATTGTGCTAGATCATTATTGTTATTAAATCAAAGTTTTATTTATACAGTTTTATTTAAACAAACAACAGTGAAAAATGTTTATTGTAAAATCAAGACAAAAAGAAAATAACTATTCATGTAGGTCTATTACAGACTCTTATGATATGTCAAATCTTTCGAGCTAAGAAGAACTGATGTAGTTATGTATGTATTATAATTTCAGTGCAATACTTGAACCAGTGGAAATGTGTAGCGGTGTTCAAGAACGAAACCCTGGCTGGAGACTCCCCCGCGCAGCCGCGCCCGCACACCACCTACATGCGGATGGCCACAATGGCCAACCCCTCACACATGCCCTTCCACTGACCACCACTGATCTCAACTGCCCATCATTGATCACTACTCATCCCCACAGATAACTGCCCGATAACCCTCCCATATGGCCTTCCACTAACCACCACTGCCCATCATTCATCACTACTCATCACCATTGATCACCACTGCCCTCCCTTCCATGTATAATAAGTCGCATTTATAAATTTGTGAATACCAATAAAGCCTTTGTTATAATTGTTGCTAATTATTCATCTTATGTTATTTTTTTGTTGACTAGCGTTCCGAAACGGATTTAATCGCGTGCAATTATTAAGTAAAATACAATTTATATTACTTGCTATTGATTTTGGCATTGTAGTATAATATAGTTTTATAAAATAACTGCATTTAAGTATTTATATCAGTTGTCTAGTACCCATAACACAAGCTCTGCTTAGCTTGGGACTAGATGGCGCTGTGTGAATTGTCCTGAGATATTATTATTGCACATATCAGTTGTCTAGTAATCATAACACAAGCTCTGCTTAGCTTGGGACTAGATGGCGCTGTGTGAATTGTCCTGATATATTATTATTGCACATATCAATTGTCTAGTAATCATAACACAAGCTCTGCTTAGCTTGGGACTAGATGGCGCTGTGTGAATTGTCCTGATATATTATTATTGCACATATCAATTGTCTAGTAATCATAACACAAGCTCTGCTTAGCTTGGGACTAGATGGCGCTGTGTGAATTGTCCTGAGATATTATTATTGCACATATCAGTTGTCTAGTAATCATAACACAAGCTCTGCTTAGCTTGGGACTAGATGGCGCTTTTTGAATTGTCCTAAGATATTATTATTGCACATATCAGATGTCAAATCATGCCACAACTGATAAGAACAGATGGCGCTGTGTGAATTGTCCTAAATTATTATTGCAATATACTTCTGTGAATCATAACACAAGCTTGCAGGGACTGATGGCCAATTTTCAAAATGTAGTGATACAATCATGACCAACTGTGATAAGAACAGAAGTGTGAGAAAAACTTAATATACGATACTACATTAAAATGTAGTGTTTATTGGCCACCGAAGTGTGAGAAAAGACTACCGATACTAATGTAAGACTACTGATATCTTTTATTATTACTAAAAGGCAGTGAAATTATAGGACATTGTCAATCAACTATTGAATTTATGATATAAATCAGAGATAGAATTGAATGTGTATGAGTTATCACATCTTAGTTCGTTATAATTGCAATGCATGAGCGGTATCATGGTCTTTATATGATAACGTGATAACCGTATTGCTGTTTATATACATGTATAGGCGGTTGCCACCAAGAGCAACCAACTTGTTTGCGTTTGGAATTACAAAAAAAAAATGAAGAGAATATATTTATCAGGTATTGTCGTTTGTTAAAATATGTACAAAAAATTTATTAGAAAAATATTGACATGCACCGAAATGTCCGCAGACTACTTTCATTTCAAACCTTAAACCTCGAACCGTCATTCTGAATCAGTCAATAAAATACCGCTATTAAAAAACAATACAATATTCTATTTTAAATCTTTACAGTATCTAAAATTTTATAATCAACAATACCAAAACTTCGCCTCCAAACTGCACACATGCAATGACATAATGTTTTTTATTCGCTTAAAATTACAATTAAGTTAACAAAAAAATAGTTTAAACAAAACGCTTTGTAAATATTCCAAAATGGTGTCACGTCATTTTGTGGGGGCGGTCCGTCTCAGTCGTTGCGTATGGACTGCTTCTTTGCTAGTTTTCGCGGAGTACCAGCCGACCTGAAATTATTTTAAATCAAATTATATGCGAAATATTGATGTGCCTACACTTATATTTCTGTCAACACTTGAAACCCTTCCAGTCCGCAGTGTAAAACAGTCTACATCCAGACTCCTCCTTGAATATACGCTTTACACAAGCTCAGCTTAGATTGGGACTAGATGGCGCTGGGTGAATAGTCTGAGGTTACTATTATTGTGTTCTAGATACTTACCGGCATGGCCCGTTCGCTCTTACAGTGGCTGTTTGATGACGAATGTGGACTTACAATGTTCCTAAAAGTAAAATGATATATGTTAATAAAATAAATACAATTTCACGACTGATATTGCAGGTGGGGTAGACAGAGGTATATTCAACTGTTGAGTTTTTAATAAACACTGTTTTAAATCGACCGGAAATATGAGAAGCTTAATAATATTTACATGGCAAATATCATATTAATAGAAAGTGAATTACCCTAGAGACGCTCTCTTGATGGTTGTAGCATTATTTTGAAGCAAAATCCGCGGAGGTGGAGAATTGACCACACCACTCGCTCTCCAACTGAACGTCGAAATATTTTTTTTTAATATACAAATAATATAAAGTTGAACATACACTGGCTCGCACAAGGCGAACCTGTATCGCGGGAGTCCACAAAAGAATTGCCAGATGATTATTAATTATTACAGATCAGTGAGTAGAGTAGATATGATATATCAGACGAATGAAGATATTTTAGTTTGATTTCATAAAAACATTCCAGATTAATAAAATAAAATAAAATAAGATTATAAATTCAAAATATTACTTTCTAAGCACAATATAATGGAATTAAGGAGAGCGGTATTGTCATTACCCTGAAAACCTTGTGGTTAATGCCTACATAACGTGGTTATTCACCAGAATTAAAGTTATTTAATTTGCCATGAATAAAACTGTATTGCAAGAATGTATCCTTTATGTTAAAATATAATCTAGGAGGATTTACTATTAATATTACATTTTAAATTATGATTTGTAGAGTAGATTACATTGTTTAACGGCCTTGGTGGTCCAGTATACCGTTTTGCTTCAGAGGTTTCGGGTACGATTCCTGGGTCGATATACAATCAAGAGTATGATTGTTTGTATTGGTCTGGGTGTTATATATATATATACGTATGTATTTACAAAAAAGATGTTATTAAGTATTCCTATCAGTTGATTAATATCCATAATCCAAGCACTAAATTTTTTCTAAGCTATTATTATTTTTATACATAAGTTAATGAAGTCTAGTATGCTAAAATATAGCTTGTCATTTAGGCTTACCTTGGCAATCCATCACCAGCTCTCCTATAGAACTCTGTCCTTTTGACATCACTAGTACGGGTCTGGTAACTGTTCAACTTCACTGATTTATCTTCCTCCAGATTGACTTTCCTTACGCAAGATGATTTTGTATATCTCCTTCCATTTTTAGCCTCATTCAAGTCTGTATTGGAATGTTCATTTATACTCGGTAGTCTGGGGTCTAAACTGCAGTCTCCACTGTCATACACCTTATAGAGTGGTTTCTTAATTCCAAATGAACTGGTCAAAGGCCTAACGATGGAAACACTGGTAGTCGGATTCCTCTTTATCAATTTATCCGGATCTTGTTTCAGGGTCTTCAAATTTGAAACTTGGGATGAGGCATTGACGGTTGAAATTCGGTTTATTGGGACATCAGATTTTTGGAGACTCTGAGACTGGTTGGATATGTCTGTTTGTTTAGTTTGCGGCTTGAATTTTAATTGTCCATTATATCCTATGTTCTTTGAAAATGATGTGCCGATTAATGATAAGGTTTTACTACTTGATGGCACGGTTGCCTCTGTAAGGTGTTCCATTAACTCCTTCGCTTGATATGCTGGAGGGGAGACGGGTCTGGACTCTTGGGTATCAGCAGACCAAAGCAAATCCGTGCCAGGTGCGACTTGTGCTTGGTGGAGATGCATTTTGATGTTGTATATCCCAGCGATGGAGCCGAAAGGGTCTGCTTTGATCTCAGAAATCACATCCATTATGGTTCGGCCACAAAGCTCGGAAATCTGTGCGTATATCTGTGACAGAATTGTTAAAATGGAAGGAGTAGTTTTACTATGGTACATGCGGTTAGAAGTATTTTAACACTTGGTTCTTTTTTAATTGGTCAACGATTCTGTAATGCTTACGGCTACCTTTTACCATTACCAGGGAATTCATACCCACACGCTAGAACCTGAGTGGTCTCGGACAGTGCGGTTTCTAACAAGTTTCCGGGAGGAAGGGTATTGTTACTAATGTGGACTCATCTACGATGTCAGGTTGACCTCCACGCGGTTCCCCCTGGAAACTATCGGGATAAACTCCTGGTGAATTTGTCACGATGCGCTGACCTGACCTCGTGTTGATCTTATCATGCTCCACTGGTGTACGTAGTAGAGAGCGTAAACTGATAGCCCAGGCGGGAGCATCATTCCATTAACATCCATAAAAAAATAAACGAGTTTCCTCCCGCGTATACTAGGTTGTGGAATTAATTATCTGCCGCTTTCTCTTTCTTTCTCTTTCTCTAGATCAGTGTTTACGTGGAGCCCACGCCCCATAGGGGGGAGGGTATTGGTAAATTTATTTGCTAGTTTCTTTAACAATTTCCTAGAAATTTCTTCCTAAATCTTATTATTTAAGTTTCTTAAGTGAACAATTAAATATTTTAATGTTGTGAATTATGTATATTATATACTAAATTGGCATGGCACTAAAAACTAAACCATTTTGATAATTTAAGTTATTTAATTAATTTTGGTAAATATATATATATATATATATATATATATAATATTTATTTTAGCATGCTGACAAAAGTCTATGCTACAAATAAAAGCTAGTCTAGAGACGTACACTAATGGCAATTAATTGTTAAAATTAAAAAAGAGAACATTTTAGTATTTTTTAAAAATAACGCTTATCTGAGAGAAAAATTAAGAAAATGTAAACCAATTTTACTCTATGTTTAGTTTGTAGTTTTTTTTCTTAATTAAAATAGGGTTATTGTTTATAAAAATACCATTATTATTTTTACGTACATTTGTCTTGTGTTATATAGTGTAATCATCTAGTATGGCACTAAAATAAATTACCAAATTATATATAAATTATATTCCTTAATGTTTAGAGATATTTTATCCAATTTTATTTTATTTTACACAATACAGATTTTTTTTTTTTGAGGGTTGATAATGGAATGGTGCACCCGCCTGCGCTAACGGTTTACGCTGGCGGGGCACCAGTGGAGGATACTTTTTCCAGGGGTCACAATACAATGCAATCCACATGACAAGGCTAGTATACCAGGTCATAGGCTGCAGTTACCTTTTACCATCAGAAGGGTAGTATGCAAGATTATCATCATCGTAGTATAAAAAAAAACGTATATGAAGCCTCTATAAATTGTCCCGGCATACCCAATGTTACTATAAATGTAATCGAGAACTTATCTAATTAAAAGCAGAGTAGTGCCATAGCTAAAATGATAAAAGGGTATAGGAGTGGCCAGAAAGTTGAGCATTGTTTTGTGTGAAGATATATATATATATATATGTAATACTAGTTGTCCCGGCAAACGTTGTTTTGCCTTAAAAAAAAAATTAGGGGTGGACTACCCCTATCATTTAGGGGGATAAAAATAGATGTTGGCCGATTCTCAGACCTACTCAATACGCTCACAAAATGTCATGAGAATCGGTCAAGCCGTTTCGGAGGAGTATGGGAACGAAAACTGTGACACGAGAATTTTATATATAATAAGATTATAAAGTTGAAGAGTTTCTTTGTTTGTTTGAACGCGCTAATCTCAGGAACTACTGGATCGAATTGAAAATTCTTTTTATGTTGGATAGTCCATTTGTCAAGGAAGGCTTTAAGCTATATAACATTACGCTACGACCAATAGGAGCGGAGCTGCAATGAAAAAGATTGCAAAAGGTGTGGAAATGAAACGCAGACGAAGTTGTGCGGTTCAGGTATTTTATAATATTCATGTAAGTCATGAATAAAGGTATTTTTATTTGATTTGATTTTGAATTATAGGCACTCACGAGTTATTCTCGGACCACATTCGTGGAAAATGCTGAAAAGATTTAATGATTGTGTTGCAATGCTTATGAGAATAGAAATAAATGATTAACCAACTTCTCTGTTGACCCTGGGTTCTACAGATCCGAAGGGGTGGATCTTCATCCTCATGCCGGGTCGCTTGATCCAGCGGTGCCTCGATGCTTCCTCAATTTTCATCCGCTGCTCCACTTTTGGTTCCAATAAGTGCTGGATAAAAGTTTTGCATTCTGTAACAATGATCATCTATAATATATAAAGTTTTGGCTGGAATGTCAGTTTGTGTCGTAGCCAGCTTTGCTATGAGTTAGAAGGAAAGTCGGTGGATTAATTTAGCTTTAAATACTTTTACTCCTTCTATTTCTATACCTTCTGTATCATCTAACTATAGGCAAAACAGTTACATGTGGCGAGCAAGTAACTTCAATAGATTAAGTAGGATATTTGATATTGATTTGTTTTCCGATAGAATATCTTTAGCGAGGGCCGTGATGAGCAGGCAATTCTTTGAGTTATAAGTATCGAATTTAATGTTATTTATATGCATTTCCATCATTTATTTATAAAATTACATGCTCTCAGTGAGTATTACAGTACAATACCAATGCACTCACCAAGGAATAAAACGTATGCAATACATACATTAATAATAATAATAGTGATAACAATAAGGTCATAAAAAAAAAATTAAAATAAAAAATAAAAACAGCAACTATACAAATTACAATAATATCAATAATCTAGAAATATACTAATACTGAGACTCCACAAAATTAGTTACCGCTCTGTGAAACTCTGTGGCAGTACAATTAAATATGTCAAGTGGAAAAAAAATATAGACGGAGTGCTCTTGAGAGCGGTGCATGATCAGCATTTAAGGTTCTACACAGGTGCAGGGCAAATAAATTGTATTTACGATTACGCTTTCTAAGTTTTGGGACGTGAAAGCTGAATTTAAAAATGTTTGTTTGTTAATTTCAGCATATGTTTCAATTTAGTAGATTGTTATTTTTTGATATATGATTTTATGAGTATTTATGACACAAACACGCCTCTCGTGTTAGTACTGTAATTTATTTTATATTACGTTTCTATCCGTGAAAACCTATAAGTGGCCGTTCTCATTTAATTATGTTTATAACTATGTTTGTAAATAGCCTTGGTTTTCCGAAAATAAATAAATACAAGTTGCTAGTATAAGGATTGGAGTTTGAAGTGTAAATAAATGGATATTTTTCTAGAGTACATATTTTTTTGTCCTAATGGGTACCTAAATGTTTTTAAAGGTCCAAATCACAAGTATTACTTATACCAGTTATGGTCATGCGTTTGCAAAATTTTCACGGTCTAGCGAGGAAGAAGACAACAGCTATATCACGCAAGTTAAAGAAAAAGTGTCGTGTCGTATCAACAGCAAAAATGATTGATAGAAGATCGTGGAAGGAGCTCCTCCGACAAGAGCACAGTTCTTAAATTATGAATAAATGAACAGTGATCTAGCGGTTTAGCACACTGCCTTACTTATATACTAAATGACAATAGGAAAATGTAAGGTGAGGCGACACAGTTTAGACACGGCAGTACTTAGTACACAATATTGGATTTGTCTTCACAGCCATTAAAATGCAATTATTATATTGATACTACTCACAAAACTACGATTCCACTGAAATGATCGTGATTACAGATTTTAACAATATGACATACAAGTTGACCCGCGTAACTTCGTCTGCAGGACACTTGCTAGACATTACATTTACAACCCCTAACGTCCTTGCTCAACTGTGTCTTATTATATACATTTTTATTGTTACGTTCTATCTGCTGTTACTATTTCATTGTCAGACTCTTAAGTATGTTATATGGTATATTAGATTTATGTATGCATTTTATTAATATTTACCTATCTATAGCTTTATATATATTGTATGTATTTGTGTATGTATATGTATGTTTGCATGTACTTACTTTTACTAAATATATATTATTTATGACATAGGTATTATTTTTCATATTGATTACATTTGCACCGCCTACAGTTTCTCTGCACAACCTGTGGTTGACTGGTAGAAAATGCCGTAAAGCGTTAAGTCCGCCATATGTATTTTACCTTGGTATTTTGTGCATTGAAGTTATATAAATAAATAAATATGTAAAACAAACCTATGGAAGAGCAAGCCAGCGCGGCTCGCTGTTTCCTTGAGAACCCTCGTGATATAGCTGCACGGAGTTGCGGCCGTGACCTCCCCTCTGTGCCCGCCGGGCATTCAGCACCAGTGAATGGAAGTCCACCAGTCACCATACCGTATACTATCACCCCACTGATAACAATGCACTAGATATTAGGAAATCGTCGTACTGCTGGCCATCGACAGGGAATTCATCCCCACACGCTAGAATCTAAGTGGTCGCAGTTTTAGAGGAGATTACTCCCGTGCACTTAGATTATGGAATGAACTACCTGCCGAGGTTTACAGACTACAGTATGGGGTATCTTAAGGGTCGCAAACGCGCACGTGACACCCCTAGTGTCTCAGGCGTCCATAGGCTACGGTAACCGTTTACTATCAGATTTAGTATCATGCAGCAGAAGAGACTTTATTTTAAAGTATGTAAAGATTATTTTCTATAATGTTAGTCCTTAAGGTATAGGTTAGGTTAGGTTAATATGGGCCAATATTATTATATAAATAATATTAAATTTCCTTAAGCAAAATAAATAAATGAGTAAAGAAAAAAATATTAGGTGTATAGTTTAAAAACGCACATGCTCCAAAGATCAACTTCTGGGCCGTACCGGCGTCCGTCCAAGAACAACTCGGGTGCCGCGTACTCCAGCGAACCGCAGGGCGTTCGTAGGGCTCCGCCCGCGCTCCACACGTTCGACAGACCAAAGTCTACAACACAGGACAGGATAACAAGAGTAGAGTGTATTGTGTTTATAATAAACTAGCTATTCGCCCCGGCTTTGCACGGGTGTACATGTATATTAAATATATAAACCTTCCTCTTGAATCACTCTATCTATTCGAAATGCACTTCTAAATGCGTTACGTAGATTTAAAGATTTAAGCATACATAGGGACGGACAGACAGCGACAGCGACTTTGTTTTATACTTTGTATCATCATCATCATCATCATCTGCTTCTTCCTTATCCCATTTATTTGGGGTCGGCGTAATATGTTTTTCTCTTCCATTCAACCCTGTTCGCAGTCATCTCGTTATTTACTTCCTTTCTTACCATATCATCTTTCACACAGTCCATCCATCTCTTTTTCGGCCTTCCTCTGCCCTTATAACCATCCACATTCATTTGTAACACCATCCTTAAAATATTATCTTCATTCCTACTCATTACACGTCCATACCACGACAGCCGATGTAATGATAATTATTTTTTAAAATTTTATAATTCAGATTACATCCATATTGTGTCAGTAAACACCTTATAAACTACATATATATAGATATGCTCTCAATTCATATATCTGTGTCCACGTCCAGAAGAACTGGATCTGCAGCAGTGCAACTTCAATAATAAATAACTGTGACTAATCAAAGTTTAAAATAAAGTTTAGTTTATTGTAATAAAGTTTTCTTAAATTTATTTGAATAAAGAATTTTATGTTAATGAATATTATTAATTACAATCTACTTTATTTATGTTATGTTTTAAATGTATATTCGTTTGTATTTTTCTCTATGTTTTTATTATTTTTTTACTATCGTTAATATTATTTTCTAACTAACTAAGATGTATGCCACATATTGTAATTTGACTAACAAACTTGTTATACTACACGCTTTTATAATAACAGAGAGTCAAAAGCTTACTCACCTACAATTTTGATGTATTGTTTAGAGTGGTCCAGCATTATGTTCTCCATTTTGAGGTCACTGAAAGTCGATAAAATATCATTTTTTTTTCTAATCTAAAGTTTCACCGGAAGAAAGGATGAGTACAGCGAGAATTCCAATATTGCTGAAAAACCTTTGATGATGAATGCAAATTTATTTCTGCTTTAGTCTGAGGGCATCGTGGCTGTAGAAATAGAAATAGAAATAATCTTTATTCAAATAAACTTAATATAAGAATTTTTGAATAAAGTTTTTTGATTCTACCGCTCATTCGGAATGCAGACTCATCACAAGAAGAATGAGCAAGAAACTTGTGTGTTGCTCTTTTAAGTAAATATTGATTCATTTATTTACATGGCTTGCTATACACTTAGCGGTGTGCTAAACTGATAGATCATCGATCATCATTCTGTATTTAGGTTTATAGTCCAGCGAAACCTGGTTAAGTGGGACCTGGATAAGTGAGAAACCTCTGTTATTGAGAGTGGCAATGAGATTCAGGTACTTTTTCATTGAATTACCTCTGTTAATGGAACTTTTCGAACCTGGTTAAATGAGATTTGAATTCTAAGATTATTTCGATGTTTGACTCTGTAACTGAATTCCTTGTAAAGTGAGAAGTGTAATCAGATTGGGGCAGGTTTTGACACGTTTGTTTACAAACATTTGAATATCTTTAGCACATGCTTTGTTTTGTCAGTACTATTTCAGGTAATTTAACCTATAAACCTTTGAGTGGACCTCTCTAAATGAGACAACTATAATTTTAAACCTGCTTAATTGGAAAACTGGATTAATGGAAACTCTTAATCATTGGTACATATTTCTTGGTCCCTTGAGATCCCAATTAACCAGGTTTCACTGTATATACACAGGTACCGGTGAACGACGCCGCGCGCGTGCATATGTCGCACGGCGGATACTAGCTGAGCCGCGAGGGGGCGCGCGCGTGCTTCAGGCAGCCCCCCCGCCCCCGTGGCCCGCGCCCCCGCCCCGCGCGCACCCAGCACCAGCGCGCACAGGTCTCCGCCTCCTGCTGCCTCCATGGCCACATACAGCCGCGGCCCGTGCTGTGATATACCTTTTTTTAATTTATTTACTAGCTGTACTTGCGACTTCGAGTAAAATTGTGATCTTGACCAAATAATGAAAAATATTTAATAATCTAATCGAATAAAAAAGTTTCATGGTTCTAGCTTCAAAAATGAAAATTTCCATACAGAATTCTATACAACTCAATCAACAGCCTAAAAAATAAGTTCCAAACTTACCGCCTTAAAAATTACGATACTTCCTATACTATCCTATACAACCTTACATCTCCCCTTTTAACCCCATTGCTAGCAATGTACCATGTTAGGTCGACCTCCATGCGGTTCTCCCTGGAAACCATTGTGATAAATTCTAGGTGAATTTGTCACGATGGGCTAACTGACCTAACCTCATGCTTATCTTATCATCCTCCACTGGTGCCCCGCCAGCGTAAACCGTTAGGGCAGGCGGGTGCACCATACCATTATCATCCATAAAAAAAGCATGAGGTACCTTATGCTTTTTTATGGACGTGAGGTGACACTGACATTTGGCATGTCTATACCACAGATAAGAACACACCGGGAATTCATCCCTACACGCTTGAACCTAAGTGGTCTTGGACAGTGCGGTTTCAGAGGAGTTTCTTCCCGCGTACACTTATATTGTGGAATGAACTACCTGCCAAGGTTTTCTCACGAGACTAGCATGGGGTTTTCCAAGAAGGGTACATTCAGGCTTCATTGGGCATTAAGCCCAATTTAAAGTGATCTTAAGTATAAGTGATTTAGAGTGATGAATTTAAAGTGACTTAAAGTGATCTTGGACAATGCGGTTTCAGAGGAGCTTCCTCCCGCGTACACTTACGATTGTTTTGATAGTGTTTTCTCACGAGACTATAGCATGGGGTTTATCAAGAAGGGTACATTCAGGCTTCTTAATGCCCAATTGACATCGATATATATGTAAAGCAGCACATACAATACGTTATATTCCATAACCGCACTATTTGCTATTTTCAAATTTCGAACTGACCGCCGAGGCGCCATCTAGTAAGCAGCGCGTTGATTTTAAAATTACAATGGCGGGAAAATGTCAAAATGAGCACAATATAATATCATGATTATTTCTATTCTGTTTTCTCGTAGATTTGTTGAAAAACGTCGTTCGGTATACATGCGTATTTAACAGATTCGGCTCTATTACGAAATTCCGTCTCGTATGTAGTAACCATATAATGCACTTTTTTTTATTTAATTATTGTTCATAAAAATCTTGATTTCGTTTCCAAAAAACAGCGATATTCATAATATTAATACTAGATTTAAAGACAAACTTGCTGTCCCCAAGTATCGTTTAGAAAAAGTTAATAGGTTTTTTATGGGTATAAAAAATTACAATAAGATACCAAAGGATATGTTGGAATTACCCTTAAATAAATTCAAAACATCTGTTAAATCATATTTACTGAGCAAGGCCTATTACTCACTAAACGATTACTTGAATGACGAGTGTGCATGGCAATAGTTGTTCATGCACTGAATTTTCATTTAATGTTAGACCTACGACACCTATATAAATATACATTGTAAATAAACTGGCTTTAAAAAAAAAAAGTAATTCAATTGAGTTTCTTGCCAGTTCTTCTCAATTGGATCTATATACCGAACTGGACGGTAGGGAAAAAATAAAATTATAATGTAAAAATTTGACGTTCATAAGCGGCTAAAATGTCCTACATGAATAAATGATTTTTGAATTTTGAATTTTGAATTCATATAGTATAAATAGTTTAATTACTGACTTTATAGGTACGTTCTTTCACGAATAGACTATCAAGCAGGAAAGAATGTAAATGAAAGTCAAAGAGGACGTGAACGGAAAGATAGGGCTCCGCCAGCTCGTGCATTCCTGCGTTCTGCAGTCGTGCATGTTTTAGCGGAAATATTAACTAACAATAGGTAATAACAGGCTCGTCTCACCATCATGGTTTCATATAAGGCTGCGATACACGGATGTCTTAGTTTCGCCATGACTCTTGGTTCTCGGTGCAGGTTGCGACGCGCGTACTCCTCCTTTATGCATGTCAGGTCTATGATTTTGATGGCCACCTATAAAGAAAGAAGAAAAGAAAGAAAGAAAAGGAAAGAAAGAAAATATTTATTGACAACCTATAATGTAAGCTTATACCTATATATTTCAATGATTGTATGATTCTTTATCTATTTATTACTATCTCGGTGGTTTAGGCGTCTAGAACATCACTCCACTTCCATTGGTTGCGAGTTCGATTCGAGTATTTGTATTCGCGAGTGTGATTGTTTGTATTGGTTTGGATGTTTTCTTTGTATATTATGTATACTATCTATAAAAAATGTACCTTTTAAGTTTTTCTATTAGTTATAGTACCCAAAACACACTCTTAATTTAGGACTATATGGCTTTATTTGAATTGTCGAGGGATAATACATATATACATTATTGTAATGTAGTCTTGAAATAGATAAAATATTTTCCCTAATCCAGTTTGAGTTTAACAACAACAAAAAACAATATTTTTATTATCAGTTGATTTATCAAAGAAAATACGTCTATCTCAATCGAAAACATCAAATATATTTTGTCTGTGCTTCAGATAGTAATATTTGCAGCAACTATCTCTTTCAATCAGGTGGGTCGTAAGTTTATTTTCAAAAAGGCAATCGTTATTATGTGGCAAACAATGAGCTTACCTTCTTCCCTATAATCCTATGAGTGGCCTCCTCAACTCTTGCAAAGTGTCCTTTCCCAAGCACCTTGCCCGTCATAAGATAGTTACCAATGCTGTACACTTGGCCCCTGCTCCTCATCACATTAGCATTCTTCATGGTCACTCAACTGACAAATTTCGACACATCCTACTTAAATAAATATAATAAAACCTATATATACTGTTTTAAACTTGACGCGGTCATTATTTATACGTACAATTAGTAAAAATCACGGGATCTTACCACCCTTACCACAGTTTACCCGTGATCATGGTGGTTGAAACACTGCCGAAATATCGGGAACTCAGCAAATAAATATAAAACGTGGTAAGATCCCGTGCTTTTTACTAATTATACGTATAAAACCTATATATTCGTTACGAGCACTTGACAAATGGCCTGCTTATTTATTTAAACGTCATAGTAATGTTTCTGAATCAGTATTGATGGCTATTTTGTTTGCCCCTCAAAATTGGAACGTGGTTGAACTATATATAATGAATTTGACATTTGCAAACACTATTTTTATCGCCAGTTCATCGACAGCGGTGTTTAATACTTTTTAGTGTCGATTACTACCTGTTTTAAATGGAATATAATAAAATAAATATAACCAGTGGTCAGAATTAATATGGAATTGGGTAATAATTAATTTAAATTATAAGTTTGCACATTATTAAGGTTCTCTTGTCAAAGACTATACTTCTTTGAGTGTATGTCAAATATATGTTTTTTTATTGATTTATTATATTTGTTATGCGTGATTTAAAATAAAATATTAGCATTTTCCACTTCTTCTCTATATGAACTATAAGCGTGCGAAATTTCCTCCTTCTCCATCTGCGTAATTTTCGTAAAAAGGTGTAGATAGTTTTGCTTCATGTATTAATATAACGATACTAGATATCCCCGCGGTTTCACCCGGATAAAATTGATAGCTCACGGTATTCTGTTGTATAATAATATATAACTGTTAAAGTTTCATAAAAATCCCTTCAGTAGTTTTTGCGTGAAAGAGTAACAAACATCCATCCATTGGGGCAGAGGATTGTTAGTAATGTAGACTAATAATCCCATTGCTCGCAATGTAGCATGTCAGGTTGACTTCCACGCGGTTCCCCCTGGAAACCATTGTGATAAATTCTTGGTGAATTTGTCAAGATGGACTAACTGATCTGACCTCATGTTCATTTTATCATTCTCTCCTCGTATGAAGCAGGGGGAAAAGGAATTGTTAGTAATGTGGACTGATGATCTTATTGTTTGCAATGTACCATGTCAGATTGAGCTCCACGCGATTCCACTCATCATAATAAATTCTTGGTGAATTTGTCACGATGAGCTAACTGACCTGACCTCATAGTCATCTTATCACCCTATACTAAAACCGTTAGCGCAGGCGGGTGCAGCATTCCATTTCCATCCACAAAAATAAAAGCATGGGGTACCATGGACGTGAGTTGGCACTGACATTTGGCATGTCTATACCACAGATAAGAAAACACCGGGAATTCATCCCCACACGCTGGAACCTCAGTGGTCTTGAACAGTGCGGTTTCAGAGGAGCTTCCTCCCGCGTACACTTAGATTGTGGAATGAAATATCTGCCAAGGTTTTCTCACGAGATTATAACATGGGGTTTTTCAAGAAGGGTACATTCAGGCTTCATTGGGCATTAAGTTTGTTTAAGCAGAAAAAGTAAAACTATACTTCTAATATTCTAAAAATTACAAAAATATTTAATGTGTCTGTCAACTTGCCACAATATTACATATCTATACCACAGATAACGTAATATTACATATTTATACTAACATCATAAATAGGTAAAGTTTTTGAGTTAACATGGTCAGGTTACAATTCTTTTAGTGTTGGATAGTCCACTTATCAAGAAAGTCCATCGGGAAAAACATCACTAATAGAATAGAATAGAAAATCATTTATTCAAATAAACTTACATTGAAGCACTTTTGAATAGTCATTACATTTTTTAATCTACCGCTCATTCGGAAAGCTATCTCATCACAAGAAGAACGAGCAAGAAACTTGCGTGTTGCTTTTTTAAATAATTTTATTATTACTTTACATTTTTAAGTTTAAGTGTGTGAATACAAACCACCAATTAGCACTCATTCAATTAAATACTCAAATAGAAAAAATATTGAATATATAACCAACTGGTTAAACAATTAATAAGAGGAAATCAGTCATAGTGATTAGAGCAGACCACCAGATGTTGTTCCCGAATTGAAATGCAAAATGTTGCAAAACAGTGAAAATGTGCAGAGTAATGGAGTCAAATTTGCGAGGGATTGTTAGTTGAAAAACAAAGTTCATATAATAAAACTACATTTGTGATATAAAAATATATTTGTAACATAAGTCTTTACAAAAATATGCGTTTTTTATAACAAACAACTATAATATAATATAATCTTAACATAAAATAGTATAATATAGCCTTATCTATGTGCCTATACTTGTAATATTTCAATCAACACTCGGCACCCTTCCATTTGTTTACGTCTCCACATAATTTAGATTTACTTCTAGAAATTCATTGTAAAGTCATGTCATTAGAACACATTTTTTTAAAATCAGTTATTCATATAAACTTACATTGAAGTACTTTTAAATACTTCAATTTAAGCTTTTTGACTGAGCGGTAGTTAAAAAAAATGTGATGACTGTTCAAAAGTGCTCAAAATAAGTTTATTTCTATTCTATTCTTATACGATACGTTCTTTCACGCGTGATCAGGAGCGTGCGCGAAATCATCATTGAAATTTAATATCTTTTTGTTCACTATTTCGCGCCTGTTCGCGTATGATTCATAACATTTAACTTTATTTTTTTACTTATAATTTATTTTCCAGAGACACGTTTTAGATTTATAAATTATCAATAACTCTGTAATTACGTCTTTGATTCTTAGTCAGATGTCGGATATTCTTTAAAAAGGCTAAAGCACGCACGATTGTAGAACGCAGGATTGATGCGAGCAGGCGGCGTGCTCGTTTTTCGTTCTCTTTGTCTACAGTTACATGCTCATTCTTTCCTGCGTGAAAGATGTAAGAGAAGAGAAAAGATGTACGTCTAAAGACAGCTAATGACAAAATGAGTAATGTCTAGAGTCCTTGGGATCTTGGACTACAATCTACTCTACTCACACCGTCTTTTTTTGTACCTGTGTTGTATTTTATGTGTAAATCTCTATTGTATTGTATTTTGTTGACAAATGTAATGTGTAACTAAAATTAAATAACTTCAAAATTCAGAAAGCATTTCTTCATGTAGGATATTTTAGCCGCTATGTGAACTTAAAAATTTTTTTCCTGCCGTCCAGTTCAGTATATAGATCCAATTGAGAAGAACTGGCAAGAAACTCGATTGAATATTTTATTTATTTATTTTAAAGGCCAGTTATTTATATAGGTGTCTATGTCTAACAATAAATGAAAATCCAGTGCATGAACAACTATTGTCATGCACGCTCGTCATTCAAATAATCGTTTAGTGAGTAATAGGCTTATAACAACTTTTTTTATTTTTGTTTTTATATTACAGTGCCTTGTGTGTGTGTATGCTTTTAAAGTAAATAAAATTTTTATATCTACAAGACATTCGTAAGAAAGAACAAAGAAATCAATTAGCAAATATTGTTCCAAAATTAGACACGATAGTTTTATACGTAACATAGTTTTCTTTTACACTTGAGGCCTCGTCTTTGGTGCTATCTAAAACGGGCACGCCAGCTTTTATGAGAGTTTCCAAAAATGATCGGAAACGCGGGAGTATTTTTGTTACGTCTGTATCACCTTTGTAAATCACACATCCATTTCCTAGTAGCAATGATCTTATCATAATTAGTACATCCTCTAGTTTCGTTACAGCTAAGGGTAATACACCAACAGGTAGACCTACACTCATATACATTGTGCCATTATCAATTTCTAATGAGTTATGTGATTGTACATGTAATATTTCCTTCTCTACTAATTTCACTAATTCATTTGCGGATGAAGTAATATCTTCGCTTTTGAAATTGTTAAAAGCTTCCCAAATAATCTTAGAACGTCTTTTTGTATCATATTTACTCCCCCAAGTAGTAAACGATGTTACTATTGATTTTTTCGAAAGAATTAGTTTGTAATTGGTTTCTTTATAAAACAAATTGTAATGTAATGTAGGCAGCCATCGGCATATAAATGGCGGGCCGTCCATATTGTCGATGTCGTTCACCCAAATTAAAGTAGATGGCGCTGCGACAGCAATCTCGTGCGCTTCGGCTATGTCACTCGACCATAGAGACAAGAAGTTGACATTTTGAATCAAAGACAAAACTTCTTTTGTGGTCCGGTACGCTTCCACACAAATATTATGTACTGTGCTGTCCACTAGCGAGTCGTAATCACCGGCAAAGTCGAACATAAATACTTTGTTTTTATATACGTACAATTCGTTGGCTAGTTTTTTTACATCTTCCGTCACTTTTGCATTCTCTTGTTCTTTTAATTTACTCTTGCCTTCGATACATTTCTTAAATGTTTCGTAAACGTTCTCCTGAACAAAGATCCGTTTCAGACTCCACGGGTGCTGTAAATTTCAAATAAATTAAAGTAATTATGCATATTTTTATGAAAATTAGACGGACGGAAGAATGTAGGCTCGAAGGACCAATGAACAAATAGGTATCGTGAGTTCATAAGGCTAAGGGGGCGTCAAATTAATCTACAGTTTCATTAGGAATCATAGGGTTCTTTATACGTTCTATACATGTTAAGTAAGGTCATTAAAACTGAATATAACTTTATAGCGACATTTAAAATTGGTATAGCGCCATCTAGTGTGCACAGAGTAAACTAAAATGACCTATAATAAAATTTCTAAATAGACAGTTACAGTATACAGTTCAGAAAGCTAATATTTATTTTGTAATAATGCTTAAAAATAGATTGAATTAATAACAAAACCATTACACCCATTACCATTCGTTTATACATACGCACACACATACAATCGACCGACACATAAGTTAACCAGACGGACAAAAATGGTGTCCGACGAAGGAAGGGAGATGGTTTCCGACTGTCAACTCAGTTATCTCTGTGTACCTGAATGACGTTCAAATTTAACGTATGAAAATATTAGATTTAGATCGCCTCGGTGATTTAGCGGTTTAGCACACCGCTTTACTTGCGATGGTCGCGAGTTCGACTCCTCGCACGGTACAAACATTTGTATTCATTAATATGTTTGTATGAATTATCTAGTATCCATAACAGAAGCTTAATTTGACTAGATGGCGCTGTGTGAATTGTTCAGGGATATTATTATTTTCACACGACAAAAAAAGGAGGGAAAGTTCATGATTTTTTTACTAATTCCCAAGCCATACAACAATAGGAAGTGTTGGGGAGAGGAGCATAATCACCTGTGATGAAGACAAGAGGAAGGCATCCACTGCAGAGTTTATGTCAGACTTCTCAGTGACAACTCCAGCGCAGGTGAACTTATTGAAAAACATACATTTATCTGAAACAAAAATGAATCATTAGCGATGCTGCCAGGTTTTTACGATAGTGGCACATCCCTATTTAAAATAGGGATGTGCCACTATCGGAAATTAATAATATTCATTGCCGATTTTAATAGATTATATTGAAATAAATTGTGCATTTGTTTAAAATTAATAAACACATAATTACTTAAAGACCATGGTACTGATAAATATATGGATGTAGTATCAAAATAGAGTTATTTTAAATATATTAGGACATTTAACATGTTTTTATGTTGATCATCTCTTACTTCTTATTTTGTAATTATTTACATAAAAAAAATATCTTTTCAAAAGAGCAACACACAAGTTTCTTGTGATGAATCTGTGTTTCGAATGAGTGGTAGAATAAAAAATGTGACTATTCCAAAGTGCTTGTATTGAGTTTATTTGAATAAATATTATTTCTATTCTATTCTAAATATCAACCCTTATCTGAACAACTAACGCCATACAAAGGTCTGTGTGCCAAATAATCGTTTTCAGAGTAAAAAGTGTGAAAACATATGTAATGTTTTATCCTTACTATAAATACAAAAGTAACTATCTGTCTGTCTGTCTGTCTCGCTTTCACTTTGGAAAGTTGGTGGTCCAGACCCTGACATAAGACTACTTTTTAATGTGACAAAAGTGTTATATGGGTTTGAATGGGGAGATAAAAGTTTGAATGGAAGTATTGTCATTTTTAAAGCTTGAAGCTTAAAACTTATTTCAGGTTGTTGATTAAATATAAATAAATATAACATTCAAAGTTTGTAAAAATTTTACCCTTAAGGGGGTAAAATAAAAATGTTTGTATCATCATTTTTGAAGCTAGAACGATGAAACTTTTTTTTGGGTATTTCGGGTTAGATTATTGAATATTTTTTCTTTATATGGTCACGGTCACTACAACAAAAGTTGCAAGTGCAGCTAGTATTAAATAAAAATAAAAAAAACGCACCTATTTTTTTATCTGTCAACCCAAAAGTGACGTTGTTGAGTCTGAAATAAAATTTAAATATAATTTTATATATAATTCGATCGAATCGAACCCACGACCATCGGAAATTAAGCAGTGTGCTAAACTGCTATATTTACTGTTAAGGGGGTAAAAAAATAGGGAATGAAAGTTTGTATGGAAAATCACCTATGAAGCTAGGATGATGTAACTGTTTTTTTTTGTTTCTTTGGCTTCTTTGGTTTTTTTTTAAAATATTTATTGAATATTTTTTCATCATTTGGTCAAGGTCACTAACATGCGGTCGATGTCGCGGGTACAACTAGTATAGAATATTTACCCAACATCTCTGCACAGCTTCACAAAAAGATAACACAGTGGAGTTGTTTGTTCTGTGCCCACCACACGGAACTCTTTATCATTTACATAATTATAGCTGAAGATCGCGAGAAGAGCCAGGGGTGTGGTGTCAGTAAAGGTTACACTATCTAAAAACAATTGAAATGAAAGTAAAGAATTATAAATACACCAATATTCTTCCTTATAGACGAGATAATCATCATTTAATCATCTAATTAATGATTAAAAATAAAATAATATATTTAATCATTAATGAGATGAGCCCCAGTGCTAGTCTTAATACATATGTTTATTTTTCTTTTTTTTTATTTCCTATTTATAATTCTTAACAATAAATGTTGTGTCGAAATACAAATACAAAATTATCATCTAATTATAAAATCTAAACAATGTCCATAAAATAATAATAATAATCCTCTAATCCTAAAAAAGCAAATCCCTCTCCCCTATAATAGAACTATTACAAAAATCCGTCATCCTCAACACATGCCGTGTTGTTAGAAAATTTCTTTCACCATCACTTTTATCATCATCATATAACTCATGCACGCTTGGGTAAGGCGTGTGTTTGAACATATTACCCTCATAAAAAGGGAGATATATAAAACATATATAAATTAATAATGAGGCATTCCCCATCCTCAGTACTAATCACCAGCTTCGCTGTGAAAAGGAGGATATAATTGTAATAATGATATTGGAATTCACAAGATACTAACATAATAACACTGGTAATAATTTTATTCTTCATTCATCTAAATATATATAACTCAAAGGTGACTGACATAGTGATCTATCAACGCACAGCCCAAACCACTGTATGGATCAGGCTGAAATTTGGCAGGTAGATGTTATGACATAGGCATCCTAGCTAAGAAATAACTACTCCTAGCTAAGAAAGGATATTGATTAATTCTCCAAGGGGATAAAATAGAGTATGAAAGTTTGTATGAAACTTTGTCAATCAACACGAGCAAAGTCGCGGGCAAAAACTCGTTGTACAATAAAATTTGGACAAACAGCAAACTTTAACACCATATGGCATTGTCTCTACCAGTTGTTATAAAAAAATATAGCTGAAAACCAACAAACCACTAAATCACAGGATGTATATAAAGTTATTTTGTTTGGATTTCATTTACCTGTACAACTCGCCCAACTGAAATTGTCCAATAAGCTATTTTTAATTATTTTCAAATCAATATTTTTGACTTCATCCATTGGTTTTTTTCGTAACAGATGTTCAAGTTGACAAAATAATTCTGTGTTTTCTTCAATTTTCTCCACCAGCTTCTTTTTACAAAGTAATATATTAGGTTCATTTACAAGATTTGTTATGGCACTTTTCTTATGGAATTCATCTTTGTATCTTTCCATATATTCCTGTAATTTGAAATATATTTAGATATTAATTATTTTTATTATATTAATGCCATATATGACATCAAATACACATTGTGACAAAGGCACCCAAATAAATTTGCTGGGAAAATTACAATAGCTGAAAATGTGTGTTGATTAAAAGGATATTATAATATAATATTCTACCAAAACATACAGGAGACAGTCTTAATGGAAAGAGGGGCTGCTTTATTGGGAGCAGCACTCTACTGTCATATACTGAACACCACATCTGCATCTGCACATACAGCCCATGTGACTGATTGCAGCCATCTAAATGCAAAATAATAAAGGCTCAGCAAGGAAGCATACAACATTAGATCGTCTTATGGATGATAATGGAATGGTGTACCTGCCTGCGGTAATGGTTGATTCTGGCAGTTCACATATAATGAAAATATATATATAAATAAGTTCCAGAAGGTAATTCAATATACACTTTCAGAATAAAATCATAAAAATCAATTTTACATTCACCTTTGCCAATTCTACTGACACAGTTGGTGCACCAACTTTAAGATCCAAATGGGCCATTGTTCAGTGTTTGAGCACCTGTAACATAATAAATATATATTTTTATTTTCCTTACTTTTTATCTCCCACATTAAAGGGGTGTCCTAAGCTGTGTGTCTGTATGTGTCATCATAGCTCCTAAACAATACCACCGATTATTATGCTTGTTTTCGTTTGAAAGCTGATGATTGTGTTGTTTTTTAATAATAAGGACTAGGTAGGAATTGTATGTTTTTTTTAGTTATGTACAGTATATATCTGACGCATGGCTCTTCTGAATACATGTTTTAATAATTAAATTAGTTCTTTTTAAATATATTTAGATACTCACTAAAAATATCAATTAAATGAACATATAAAAAAACAATAAATAAATACCGATTAAAGACTTTTTGATATTTTTGTTATTAGATTTTTTTCTTTAAAAGGGTTTTTTTATCCTTCAAAGGAAAGGCAAAGGGAATTATGCTCATACAGCCATAATTAGCGGCTTAAAATGTATCCGTTTATACTTTGAGACATTTGTCAAATTTGACACTACACTGACAGATCTAAGAATGAGTAACTTACTTTTAGTTAACATTCGTGGTGAATTTAAAAGGGAATAAGAATAATTGTTCCCTTATCGAACCACCAACCAACATCGTTGAGGTTAAAGGGTTAACCTACAATTATAATATGACTTCTGTCACATATATTTTCTGTACGTAAATATATTATATAATTTTTTGTTATTGTATTATGTAGGTTGTTATTATTAAACATAACAAAAGTCATTTTTACCATAAATTAATTCAACTACATTAACAAAAATAAAGAATTCGTTACTACTACTAGAAAATATAATACAAAATGGCGAGACATCTCCAAAGCTGTACTTACAATCGACTGCACTGATGCGGGTGTGCGATGCACGTCGTGGCAGCACAAACAGGTTTATTCCGGTTTTAGTGACTAAAAAAATACAAAAATGTCTTTATACTTATTTGCCAAATCGGTCGGTCACTAGTTATTACTATATTATAGGTACCTACATATATAATATGTTAGTTCGTATGACTTGTTTGGTGTAACACTACACTACAACTAGACTACATCGAGAAACAAACGATAAGTTAACGCGATAAGAGTTCATCACAAACTATGTAGTTATAGAGATGTTGACGTATATGTTCATTATCACAATACTGGTAATGTCAGTAAGTTCGAGCAAGCCTACTAGAGAGACAGATATATTTTTAATTAGTAATAGCAGTGGCACTCAATGAGGAAGTAGCCATTATTATTGCTAAAAGTTGCATATAGATGGCGTGATTGGTATCGATGGAATTATTCATAGTTTTGCAAACGTTTTAAAAAACAAAACTGTGTTTTCAAAAATGTTTAATCAATTTTTAAAAAGTTATATATACATGTTAAAATGAAATAATGCGTTTAGAAAAGTAATTTTCATATATTTACTCATTTTGTTATTTTCCAGTACTTAATTACACTTTAATCAGTGCTAATATGGGGCTCAATGTTTTCAAAATGCTTTCATAGATGGCATTGTCGTCATTTGTATCGGCCTAATTAAATGTCTTTTTTATATTTTCCAATAACAAGCACTTAATATATTATTATTGTAAATTAACAAATAAAAATTTTTTAAGTAAATTAAAAATAGCCGAACAAGCATGTAATACTATTTCCAATAATACTTAGGTATGAAGTGTTGTCATATTAAAAATAAATACATGTATTATCGATTTTTTTGAATAATCGATAACAGGATTTTATTACAGCGCATTATTCGATGATGCTTTTAATGAGTCGTTGTGAACAGTAAATTTTCATTATTTTGTATTATAGCAGTGTTCCGTTTCAAAGAACGGAATATAATAGTACATTATTAGTGTCGTTGGTTATTTACATTTGTACTGAAAAATCGATTACATAATAATTTAAAATATCGAGTACGAATCGTAGCTGTCTTCGAATACTGGCAACTGGTAAGATTAAAATAGTATTTAAAAAAAGAGAAATCGACCCTAACTCGAATACCATAAAGTTGATTTTTCTTTCTCATTAATATCATAGCAGTTTGTTTTTAACTTGCGTATGACTCTGTGGTATGATGTTTAACGTGTATTGTTATTGTACGGTGCATACATTTCAAAAATTAATTTTTAATGTAGGTACATACATTTCTTTCATACATTTCATACATGTCAAAAATTATCTTTTAATGTAGGTACACACATTTCTTTCATACATTTCATACATGTCAAAAATTATCTTTTAATGTAGGTACATACATACATTTCTTTCATACATTTCATACATTTCAAAAATTATATTTTAATGTAGGTACATACATTTCTTTCATACATTTCATACATGTCAAAAATTATCTTTTAATGTAGGCACATACATTTCTTTCATACATTTCATACATGTCAAAAATTATCTTTTAATGTAGGTACATACATTTCTTTCATACATTTCATACATTTCAAAAATGAACTTTTTATGTAGGTACATACATATTTTTCATACATCTCATACATTTCATAAATTATATTTTAATGTAGGTACATACATTTCATACATGTCAAAAATTATCTTCTAATGTAGGTACATACATACATTTCTTTCATACATTTCATACATTTCAAAAATGATATTTTAATGTAGGTACATACATTTCTTTCATACATTTCATACATGTCAAAAATTATCTTTTAATGTAGGTACATACATTTCATACATTTCAAAAAGTATCTTTTAATGTAGGTACATAACACCCCATGTCAGACCCCTTGTATTTGGAAGAAACTTAAAAATAATGCCAAAAATATTAGATGAATATATTTTTAATACGAATATTGTTTTATTTTTGTTCATCAACTTTATCCCTCACTAACAATACTAGTAGTAGTACATAACCTGGTTTATACCGCTAAAGATATTGAAAGATATACGAGTAATTCAGAATGTTTGGCGTGAAAGCGAGACAAATAGACAGACTGAGTTACTTTAGCATTTATAATATTTTTAAGAATATCGCTATTAAAAATAGGGGTTGGTGAAAGACGGGTGAAAATTTAGGCGTGTATGTATTTTCAATGTAACATTATAAATAAAAAAAAAATTGTCCATAATACAAAAAAATATTTTTTCGGGGTAGGCCACCCATATGACTTAGGGGTATAAAAAATAGATAACAACCCTACCTCAGACCTGGCAAGTATACATATCAATTTTCATCATGGGAGAAATATGGCAACTAACACTGTGATACAAAATTTATATATTGTAATACACTACCACTAAGTAGATATATATATATATATATATAGCGGCGCACCCGCCGGTAGCCTCGCGCTGTTGGCTCGTTGCTAAGCAACGGATACCCCGGTAGCGGTTGGGCAACGGGAGGCCGGCGGCAGTTGGTCGTTGAATACCGCACGCAGCGCAATAGTCTTACAACTTATTTTAATTATTTTTATGACGATCCAACAATATAAGATATAGCGGAATTCTCATTAGGTAAAAGAGGGGTACATCGTAGAATACATGAGGTATATACCAGTAAATTAATTGTAGCTAAAATCAGTCTCATACATATAACGATTGAAATAAAAAAAACGTATAGCCCGATTTTGATACGTACGAGTATAAACGTATCAAAATCAGGCTATACGTATAGCGCAGACGCGTTACAACATATCAAAAAAATAGGCATGGAATGTAAAATAAACCATAACATAATAGGTATATACATTGGCACATAAGCCATATCTGCAGAGTGTCGGCTAACGATATTATACCTACACATTTACATTGAATCTTGAATCGTCCCTAATGAGGTACACGATACAGTAACCTACATATCTATTATATACATATCTTTGCAAAACAGATGTCATGTAGCTGAATTGACTGCCATCTATTTTCATGCTTTGTTACTAAGCACCCACTAGTAATCCGAACTGCTTCAGATCTAGCGACATCTAGCGGCTACGGTGGCGAAATAAAATAGCCCGAAGAATAGCCCGAGTTAGGAAGGAACCATTTTCTTGTATGGGATGGGGTATCTGTATGTAATATTATGTTATCTGTGGTAATAGTTCAAAAAAAAATACTATAGTTATCGAGTGAGTAGCCAGAAATTGTAATGAAAAACATTATATTCTTTTTTATTTTTTTTTATTATAGCAGCTTTTAAAAAACTTATTAACTTTTCTCTCATTTTATATATACGAATAATACATATTTGTAAGCATACAGCAATTTATTTACCTTTGCCTTTAAAAGCAAATAAACACAAAAGTGTGATAAAAACACAGTTCAAATTTAGACATCAAGAGCTAGCACAACACTTAATTATGTTAAATTTTTTTATACATACATATGTCTAAATATTTTTATATAATAAACTACCTGACGAATTAAAAAGAATGACAACAACGAAATTTCAGAGTAAATTAAAATCAATTTTAATAAAAAAAATATATTACTCAATTACAGAGTTCATGAATGTATGAAATATATAATATGATAATTTCATTGGATTATTTGATTTGATCTTGTATTCCTCTTATCATCTTCTAGTGGTGCCTTGTCAGTGTAAACTATTAGTGCAGACAGGTGCACCATTCTATGATTCATTAGAGTACCAATAACAGGTATTTTAGTAGTAGGTAATAGGTTAAATTTATAAATTATTTGTTAGCATCAACAGCAACCATTCGCCAGACCAGACTTCAACTACAACGCCATCTAGTTTCTGATTGAGATAACGAGCACAATATATTTTTAACTAATTAATATGATTTGTGCCTATAAACTTCAAATAAAAAATATAAATAGTAAATATTAAATCTAATTATAACTATGATATAAAATGTACGTTCTAGAAGTTGGATATAATCATGTGTTAGGTGTAACTTCCTGTGGTGGCGCCACCGTCGTGCGGCGCGTTTATAAAAGGCTGCGAAACCCGGTGTGCGGTCTCTTTTGGTCGACAGACGTGCTCTCGAACGAATCTCCGTATCATACCGTGTTTGCTTTATAAGTTCTTTTACTGATTTTGTTCAAATTAATTATACGATTTGTTATAAGTTTCTTTTATTTAATTAAATTTAGAGGATATTCCTAACATCAGAAGTGGGATTCGAGGCCATTTTTGGTCGCGAATAACATTTTTGACTAAGGATTGATTACATGTCGAGTAGAAAACGCCCATCGTTACGAGAGCACGCGTCTCCGTTCTCCACCTATCAAATATAGGTGAACTAGCAGCGTTAATGGACGCAAGTCCCAACAATTGGTGTCGCTGGAACAACGTGCGGGTAGCTCAGCGAAACAGGGGTTCGCATATAGCTGCCGACGTAGATGCTGACGACGTGCCTGCGCCGGCACCGGCCCCGCCACGCTGTCGCCGCCCGCGCAGACAGTCGGCGCGCCAGCCAGACCCGCCAACGAGCGCACCTGCTGCGGTGGCGCGATCGGTTGCTACCTCAACAGACATTACTAAACGTCTTATCGACGCTTAATGTCTAATGAATCTGGTGAGATCTTTCCATTTTTATATTTCATACTTTTAAGTATGCGCAACATTGACGAATAGTTACGATGAAGTAGATCGTGGTCATTCAGTGAACCGACAGACGGTGTCAGTTTTGTCGTTAAAAGGTGAAGTAAGCGCGTAGTAACGTGAGTGGGCTAGTGATGATCATACTTGGTCATATATGATAGCAAACTACGTAGTATAGAAGTAGATTCTCAAATACGGTGCTATAGTTGCAATATAGTCGGGTAGTATAGAAGTAAATTTAGTTCTTTTGAAAAAATAACCTACGGACAAAATCGTATATGCGTTTTGTAAGAAGATAAGTCATACTGAATACGTTTACTTTACAAAGAAATAATCTGAATTAGGCTAACGCAAATTTTCGCCGTGACTTGGACTAGTGATCATGCACATCGCGACGAAATTATCGCGCCGTAATATGCGGGTACCCACAGATGTTTAGTACGATAGTGGTTCAACAACTTTTAAATCAAATGATCGTTTTCGTGTTGTAA